TAAAAGCAATGCTTCACCTCCTAACCTTCACCGAGGAGGACATCGTCGGATCGTGGAAGGAATGCGTTAAAATCCCCTTACCCAGCTGACATGCCTTTAGTGGCGGATGAAGACACTGGGTCCTTGAAATTGGATCTGTTTATCGCCCAGGCTGAAGTCACCCAGATGGTCAAAGGACTCCACCGTGGAAAGGGCTTATGGGCAGAGGAGATCCATCCTGAGTGCCTCAGGTCTCTGGGTGTTGTGGCTGGCACTCTTCAACATCGTATGGAGGTCATGGACAGTGGCTCCTGAACTGGTAGATTGGGGTAGTGGTTCACATCCAAAACAAGGGGCACCAGAGTGTGATTTTCAACTTTAGAGGGGTAACATTTTTCCAGGAAGGCCCTCCGTCACCCGTCCTGTTCCTTTATAGACTGGATTTCTAGCTGCAGCCAAGGACCAGAGGGGGACCCGTTTGGGGACTGGCGGGTCCTGTCCCTGCATTTTGTACAGTAGTAGCCATTCAAAATTTCCCCACTTGATGGGCCCTCTGCTGGTCATTGGCTGGTTCTTGGCTGGTCCCCTACAATTCCTTTTTTAAACATAAATCTTTGCACTGAAATATTCTTTCTGTCATGATTTGTGGACATTAGGATCTAAAGAGAAGTGCCATCTCCTGGTCAGACCCTGTAAAGGCCAGTGGCTGGAAGTTGGAGGGCATTTGGCTGAGATTTGCAGTGGAGTAGGCTGCCATTCGGCTGGCGTTTAACTGGGAAGGGCCATTTTGAATGGCTGCTACTGGAGATGATGTGATTCTGTTGGCTCCCTCCTCCAGAGAGCTACAGCATGCACTGGGGGCTGGTGGTTCGGTCCCTAGGGTGAGGCGGATGCCAATCAGCTCCTCCAAGCCTGAGCCATGGTTCTGGTTCTCAACCAGAAAACGGTGGCTTGTTCCCTTCAAGTTGGAGTAGAGTTACTGCCTCTAGTGGGGGAGTTCCAGTATCTTGAGGTCCTGTTCAAGCGTAAGTGGAAGTATGGAGGTTGAGATGAATAGACGGACTGGTACGGTGGCTGCTGCTAGAACGCAAACGCTGTCATAGTGAAAAGAGAGCAGAGAGAAAAGGCAAAGCTCTTATTTAACGGTCAGTCTATGTTCCTACCCTCACCTATGGTCATGAAAGAACGAGATCTTGGTTACAAGTGGCTGGACTCCTTAAAGATGGGATGAGGAGCTCGGTTTTCCAGGAGATGCTTGAAGTAGAGCTGCTTTTAATTTCAGTAAAGTTAGTTTCACTATAATAGCTTCACTTCCTTTAAGCTTCCTTTAAGGGTGAAGATTTAGACTTAGACACAAAATAAAATTTTCTTTGCATACAGGTTACATCAGTAAAATGAGGCCGCAGTTGTATTAGATAAGCAGCAGACGAAGGTGGGCGAGATAATCCAGAGGGCGAAGCCAAAGCTGGTGTCAAAGACGTGCTCGGTTGTCAGACCAAGGAGGTCAGAGGTCAGAAGGGGTAGCGAAAAGGAATCCAGAACAGTTCCAGGTACGGTACACAGACAGTTAGAAATCCAGCAGGAGTCCAAAGACAGGTCAGGCTAACAGGTCAGAACAGGGTCAGGCAGGCACAGAGGCGTGGTCAGGGTCAGGGTCAGGTAGTTGGAACAAAGGTAAGTAAATAAGTCTCACCAATCAGCTTGAATTAATCTGGCACTGATGACTGGTCTGAAGGCTGGTTAAATAGAGACGGAGGCAGCTGGATCAGATGAATGGTAATGAGAACTGGGTGGAAATGAGTGATCAGACCAAACATAAGTGCTCAGATCATGACAGTGTGATGTAGTGTGCAGAGTCTATAGCCAAGACAAATTTCCTTTGGAAGTTGATCATCATTGTTGGTCAGACATGTAAACACATCAAATACGGACTAAAAAAGAGCTTTTATCACTTTAAACATGTGGATGGCTCAATGCTGCTAACAAGCCACACAGAGCAGAATACAAAGAGGTTTTCTATCTGTCCCTCAGTAGAATTCTCTCTGTTTATTGCCCCCCATCTAGAACTCTGAGCGCCCAGTTTACCAACCATTCCACGCTACAGGTTTCCCAGTAAGCAGCTAAAATGTCCAACATCTGCATAAACCGGACTGAGCAGAGGAATGAAGGCCATCGAGCATGTGCCACGGAGTGAGAAGAGACGCTCTATTTTTAGAAGGTGGTGATGAGCGGTTCTCCCTGTGGGACAGGGTGATATCAAAGGGATATCACCCTGACTGTTGCCATGGCAATTGTAATTCAGCTTGGATTTCTCCTAATTAGGGAGGCAGGAGTGTACAAAAGAAAAAATGATGAGTAAAAAGAACAAAAGTCATCACTGCAGCTCCTCTAATCAATAGTTCCTGCCCAGATGGGCCCCGTGGATATGAAACGGTGAGACGGGGCCACTTACTGGCCTCAGAAGACGCACTGAGGGGGAAAATATGCAATAAAACACTGAAGCAAAGCTACAGTAAGAGGCTTATCTTCCACAGATCCCTCAAACTGCAGCATATTTTAAACCTTTGACTGGATGAGAGATGAATTGGAAACCAGCGCAGAGGTTTGGACATGGTAGACAGAGTTTGAATGGATGGCCTGGTAGAAAAATATTCCCGGATAAAATGCCAGGCTTTCCTTTCTACACTGCTTCAGTGCATTTATCTGTGTCAGCTTAGTCTGTTTTTAGGAAGATAAATGAATCTTTTCAACATTAATGAAGTCATTTGCTGCTGCGATCCTGACATCCTGAGCAGTTAATAGAAAATAATCTCTAAAAATGGGTCTGGAAAGACATCCCCCAGTGCAGTGATCCATCATCTCTGGCTGCTTTTATATAATGTTGGTGGATTCGTCAGAGGCTGTAGCTGCATTCATCAGATAATTAAAAAGAAGTTCATGATGGCCAAACAATATCTCAGGTTCAGGGTCCATCTATATGTGGCTTCATGTGGAGCTCAGGAAGTCTAGATTTTGTGGAGGGATCTTACAGGTAGTTCAGATCCTAAAGATCCTATTAAAGTTAGAACCAGAACCTCGTTAAGTCTTGGTCCCTGTTTACAGAAACGTTCACATGGTCATTTCTAACCTTAATTAAACTGTTTCTGGAGACCAGATGAACTCACTGATGAATCTAGTTACAGTCCTGGTCCTAGTCCTAGTTCTGGTCCTAATCCTGGTCCTGGTTCTGGTCCTGGTCCTTGTCCTGGTCCTCTACCTGGTCCTCTACCTGGTCCTTGTCCTGGTTCTGGTCCTTGTCCTGGTCCTCTACCTGGTCCTCTACCTGGTCCTTGTCCTGGTTCTGGTCCTGGTCCTTGTCCTAGTCCTCTACCTGGTCCTAGTCCTGGTCCTCGTTCTCTACCTGGTCCTCTACCTGGTCCTGGTCCTGGTCTTGGCCTGTTTTGAACCTGTTATCTTCCTTCCTTCTTTCTTTGGTTTTGGTTTAATTCTGGATTCCAGCTAAAGGTAAAGTTCGATGGATGGATGATTCTGCCTTTACTGCTGTTTTTTTCTCCTCCCCTGAAATCTGTGGACTTTTTATTCAGCAGCACTTAGATCACCTTCAGGAAGTGAATCTTACTGTCAGTATTAACTCAGTGGATCCGATCATCTCACATGTCTCCATCTCCACCTGAAACCTTTATAGCAGCCTAGCCTGAGGCTTTAGGGCAATAAGTTTCACTATAAAAGGAACACATGTGTAAGGTGGTCTAAAAGAGAGCAACAACTGATGGTACCAATGATGATGATGAATATTAGCTCTGTATCACAACTTTCAGGTCAACTCAAGCTTTGCTTTGATGATAGACCGGTAGGGATGAAATGGTCCATGAAAGATAATTTGTGGAAGGACAGAATGTCTGTTTGTTTTTCAGCTAAGGGTAAGACATGTCTAAATGGACATCAGGACATGTCTAAATGGACCAGTTTTTCCTTTATATATACCCGCAGGTGAAACTACTAAACCCTCAGAAGCCCTGCACTGCTGTTGCTTTGTCTCCTTCGTAGATAAAAAGTGAAAGAAGTGTGAGTCTGTTAGTCAGGAAGGTTGAACTGGATTACTGTTGCTTCTTACGATATCTGTGCCATAAATAGAAATATGGTTGGAGGAGAGCAATGACTCCAGATCCAGGGGTCTGATCTCCATCCAACCTTCATCTCACTGGTACAGAGCAGGACCATTGGTGGGATTCGCTGTAAGCTGCTGCCATCTAGTGGTGCCATGGAGTAACTGACAATGTCAATGACTCCCATTTATTCTGCATTCATCACTGTTGTTCCTTTCATGCTGATTTTCCACAGTTTCAACCTTAATCAGTTAAATAACACGCAGCAACATCTCTGATATTTTCAAATATCCATCACTGTAAAAATGTCCATAGCTGGATATTAGTTATTTATTCTCCAGTTCTATATTGTTTAAACACTTTACAGTATAGTATTGTTTATCTTTGAACTGTTTTCTATTATGTCATTCTTAGACATTTTTCTAAGGTCCACATCTGTGTCAACATTTTCTTCTATGATCTTTTTGCTGCTACCAGAATTTCCCCACTGTGGAGTAATAAAGGGATTTTCTATTCTATTCTATTCTGTTCTATTCTAGAGAGCGTTCTGAGCAGCTGTCTCACTGTGTGGTGTGGAGGCTGCAGCGCCTCAGACTGGAAGAAGGTGAGAACAGCAGAGAGGATCATGGGGTAGAAGAAAAAAATTGCAGGAGGAATATAAAAAAAAAAGTCTAATCAACGAAAACTTTGACGACCCCGATGCAGTACCTCTGTGGACCCCCTGGGGGTCACGGACCCCCTGTTGAAGAGCTCTGCTCTAGGAGGATGGATGGAACCATTATTTCATGCATGTGTTTCCTGTTCTCGTTGTGCTGGTTGATTGGTCTGTTCTGAAGCGCAGCTGGAGAAGCAGCTTCCAGCTGTTTCACACCCAGAGGCGTCAACTAACAAAGACCAAATACTTTGTTTCATTACTGAAGTAGAAATATTGGCTTTACTTTACCGGAGGAATTATTCTTTAGACAACATTTCACCTTCTACTTCTTACATTTTAAAAATAAACTCATTCGTTTTATTTAATTTACGCTCATTTTCATGATGGCCCCAAGGTATTTAAGAATATAAAACCAATCACAATAATTAGTTTCATCCAGACAATTAATTTCTCTGTGGTTGGACTCGGTGCTGATGGATGATGGATTCAGATTTATATTTTTGGTGGTGAGTGAAGCCATACTCTGGGCTGCTCCTGAGTTTCCTTATTGGGAGACAATCAATTATATTTCTCTTCTCTACTTGGTTTTGCAAACAACCTGCTTTATTCATAAATTAAACTTTAAATTTCATACATAAACTTTTCTGGTGATTTAAAACATGTCATGGATGTCAGACCACCTTAGGGTCCCTCCCAGTCAGATTTCATCCAGAACCAGCAGCAGGTGGACCAGGAGGCCGACTTTCTGTCGTTCTTTTAGAAAACCTGTTTTTTATTGAAAGAAGGTGAAAATGCAGCTAAACTCCATCTAGCCTGAGAAACTGCTGAGACACAGCGATGCGTTGGTGCCTCCAAACCCGAAGGAGTTAGTGAGCGCCACCCGCCGGCCCTCAGTCCTCCATGCTTGAGCTCTGCAGGGGACGTAGTTTAGGTTGAACTCGGGCTCAGTGCGGTCCAGGTTGAGGGTTGGGGGCAGCACCCCGTGGTAGCAGGCCAGAGCGGTGAAGGCCGCCTCCAGAGCCCCGGCGGCGCCCAGCAGGTGTCCCGTGGCTCCTTTGGTAGAAGAAACCGCCAGGCGGTCGGCGCTGCGCTGGAAGAGTCTCTTAATGGCTGCGTTTTCTGCAGCGTCGCCTAAAGGCGTGGAGGTGGCGTGGGCGTTGACGTAAGTGACATCATCTGGAGAGAGCGCAGCGTCTCTGAGGGCTGCAGCCATGCACCTGTAGGAACATCAGACAGAGGATCAAATGATTTACTGAAGCGGAGAACCGATAGTCAGGCTGCAGAGACCCAGACAGAAGGTTTCAGCTCACTGGAACCATTTTGATCTCATATCTGTTTAATCTTCCTGTTGTTTCATCCTTTTCCTCTCAGTTATCACTCATCTTTAGTTCATTTCAAATTGACTCTTAGTTTATTTACTGTTTTTACTGTACTTATTGTTTTAAAAATCTGATTTAAAATCCTAGTCCACAAGCATCCTCATTCACTTTTTCCCCTAAATTTCTAGGTTATGATTTATGGTTACATGATTTATTGGCTGCATCTAAAAATATCAAATATATTTTCAATTTAAACAGATATGAAATAATAGAATATAACCTCAAATAACTTAATGATATCACTGTTCTAAATCATCAGATCTATTCAGTTTAAGTCAATCATCTGTCTGTAGTGTCTTTAAATGTCCAGCAGGTGTCAGTATTCTGTGAGACAACATCAACACTGCAAATGTGTCCAAAATGTGAACCATCTCTAGAAGAAAGTCTTTTTAACTCCCTGACATGTTAAGTTTGTTTTAATCAAACATTGATGTCATAGATGAGGTCAGAGATGATCCATCAGCAGCTCATGGCTGCTTGGTTTCCTCTTAAAGCTTTTTCATGTTGGCTTCCTTCAGACAAACACTGACTGATTGACACTGAGCTGCCCAGGCTACAGCAGCTCCATCACCTTCCTGTCAGCGGGGCTGGTTGTTGGCTAAAATAATGCGGCTTAATGCATTTATGTTGACTAAATGGCGTATAAAATGAAGCACAGTTTTAAGGAAGAACAGATGTAAAAATCCTCATTTTCTTCCCACCACAGCAGCAGCAGCAGAAGGTTATACCAAAAGTGGTCACACAATGTGGACCTCAGAAAGGTGCACAAAAATATCAGGAATGAAGCCTCGGTGTTAGGATACGGCTCAGAGCTCAGAGTCCTTCTATCTGATCTAGACTTTAGACACAGAATTAGTTCAACTTCATTGTCCTTTGATTTACAGATTCTATAGATGCATTTCTGGAGGTTTTCTCTTAATCTGGTTAACCCTTTATAGAGCAAGGTGGCGTTTTTGATCACTCGCATTACAAATGGAGTGTTTCTTTCACTCAGAGTGTTATGAATTTCTTATAGAAGCACTTATTTTTCCTAACATATTCGGGCAAGTTGGTGTTTCTGGTTATTACAGCGACATTTTTTATAACATCAAAATATCCATATTCTTATAATGTTGCAAAGGTCAAAGGTTTTCTGATTCCAGTAACACTATTGAGGCGTATAAAGGGATAAGGTCCAGAGGGTTTCTCCATAAACAGAACCTGTCTGATGCTCTAACAGCTGCAGCCCTGCATGGTGAACTCCCCCCAGCATCCTCCCCCTCCTCTACATACTCAGATCTTCCCCTCGCTGAAGCACGGTGGGGGCTGCATGGTGCTGTGGGGAGCCTTTGGTTAGAGGGCTGACCTGAAGGCTCCGTCTCCGTCCGCAGTGGGTGCAGTGATGTGGCTGGCGTCCCCCGACAGGCCGTAGCCCAGGACCTCCGCGTAGATCCGGGCCTCCCTCCTCAGCGCGTGCTCCAGCTCCTCCAGGAGGACCACCGCCGCCCCCTCCCCCATCACAAAGCCGTCCCTGTCCGGGTGGAAGGGTCTGGAGGCCAGGGGGGGCTCATCGTTCCATCTGGTGGAGAGCGCGCGCGCCCTGGCGAAGCCGGCTACGGCCAGAGGACTCACGCAGGACTCTGTCCCACCCGTAACCATGGCAACAGCATCCCCGTGCGCGATGAACCGCGCCGCGTCCCCTATGGCGTGGGCCCCGGTGGTGCAGGCTGTGGACACCGCGTGGTTGGGGCCCTTCAGGCCGTGTCTGATGCTGATGTGTCCCGCCGCCATGTTGACCAGGATGCGGGGAACGAAGAAGGGGCTCACCCCTCTGTAGCCCCGCTCCCTGAAGGCGGCGGAGGTGCGAGCGATCTCCTCCAGGGACACCATCCCCATGCCCACGGCCACCCCGGTGCTGAGGTGCTCCTCTGGACTTTGGGGGCTCCAGCCTGCGTCCTCCAGAGCCAGCTGAGCGGCCCCTAGGGCCATCACGGTAGCCGGGGACATGCTGTTCAGTTCCCCGCGGGGAGCGAAGCTCTCCTCGCTAAAGTGTCCCTCCTCAGACCCTCTGGGCACCACGGCAGCCACCTTACAAGGGACCCCTCTGTACTCCTCAGGGTCCAGAGCCACCAGCCCGCTCTGGCCCCTGATGAGGCGGTCCCAGACCAGAGCAGTTCCCGTCCCAAGGGGACACACCAGTCCGATCCCAGTAATCACTACCCTCCTCCTCCCCAGAGGCTGCTGTCCGCACTGGGAGGAACTGAAGGCGGCTTTCTGCGGCGGAGCTCGGCTGTAATGCTGACCGAGTAGAAGCTTCCTCCAGGTCGACCGGGAGAGAGAAGACATTTTAAAGTTAGAAGCTAGCAGCCTAACCGGAGGGAGCTAGCAGCCTAACCGCAGGAAGCTAGCAGCCTAACCGGAGGGAGCTAGCAGCCTAGCCGCAGGAAGCTAGCAGCCTAACCGGAGGAAGCTAGCAGCCTAACCGGAGGGAGCTAGCAGCCTAACCGCAGGAAGCTAGCAGCCTAACCGGAGGGAGCTAGCAGCCTAGCCGCAGGAAGCTAGCAGCCTAACCGGAGGAAGCTAGCAGCCTAACCGGAGGAAGCTAGCAGCCTAACCGGAGGAAGCTAGCAGCGTAACCGCAGGAAGCTAGCAGCCTAACCGGAGGGAGCTAGCAGATAGTCGAGAGGCTAACAGCTGATTGTTTTTAGCCTGTTTTAGGTGCCGGTGGTGAACGCCATCTCCGAATGTCCACAATAATACAATAAAATACTATTTCGAAAAACTAATAAAAAAACGTCCAATTTTTTTTTAAATAAGCAAGAAAAAACAAAAACAACTGCGCCTTTTTAACTTACTAATCACTGACAAAATATAACTGTTACCATATACACACACATACGCACACACACAGTGTTTATATTTAGCCAGGCAGTGTGTGGGCAGCTTGCTGAAGGACCCCAGGCCCGGCGAAGCATTTTAGCTGATTTGAAATTAGCAGCAGCTGCAGCCACCATGGCTCTGTCTCCAGCGGTGTCCACTCTGACTGAGAACCCCACCGAGGTGTTCCTGGACGCGGCCAAGCTGCTGCTCACATACGCCGACAATATCATCAGGTACCGCAGAGACAGCCGGGGCCGGATGCTCGGGTCCTTTCCCCTGCCTGAGGCCGGGGAAAGGACCGGAGTGGGGAGGACGGTGGAACCATAGGAGGGAAATTATTATTATTGACCCGTCTGTAGGGTGACCCCCCCACTATGGCCTCAGTTCTGCTTCAGGTCAGCCAATCCCAGATCACTTTGGCCTGATTGAAAGGCTGGAGGTTCCACAGGATTATACTGCCACTACCATGCCTGGCAGTTCCAGGTCCAGTGGGTCAGATCAGGTGTGAACCTAAGCGGTGCAGTTAACCACTGGGCTGCCTGCAGGTGAAGCTGCTGGTCTGTTGGAGTTCAGATCGTGGGGGTTTTCTGGCTTTAATGACCTTTGAACCTGGGGTCCTTCCAGGCTCTGGCTGGATTCATGCTGGTTTCAGCCAAACATTTTAATAACTGGCCTTTTTCTAGAGGTGTTTGCTGCAGAGAACCTGATGTCTGAGCTCCTCTGTCCCTCCCACCAGGTTTCCTCGTGAGGAGAAGTATCGCTCCATCCGGATCGGTAATCCCACTTTCTCCACCAAGCTGCTGCCCGTCAGAGGAGCTGTGGAATGTCTCTTTGAGATGGGATTTGAGGAGGTAGGTGAAGTTGGCCTCCGTCTGCCGCCGCTGTGTCCGTGACCTCAGCTGACCTCTCCGTCTCCAGGCTGAGACCCACCTGGTCTTCCCCCAGTCGGCGTCAGTGGATCAGCTGAAGCTCATCAGGGAATCAATAGCTGCAGAGCGGGACCTGATGATGAGCGGGGGCCGTCCCGTCCAACCTGCTGCTCCGCCTGTGGAGGCCCCCACGCCGGCACCAGAAGGGGCCGCGGCTGCTCCCAGCCCACCATCGGCCCAGCAGCCATCATCCCTGGTAAATACGCTCTCTGTCTGTTGGTCCTTTAGTTTATTCTCTACGTTCTGCTGCTGTCTTTGTGTTTCACCGTCAAACTGAAACGTTTGATGCACTAATGATGCATCAGCAGCTTCGCCTGATGAGTCTTATGAACGCTCCAAGGAAGCCATGAGGGACCACTCTGTGGAGCATTCTGACAGGAGCTCCGCCCACAGCCAGACCTGCTGCCACGGGTTTGGATCTGATCCAATCAGAGTTCAGCTCATCTCATGCAGAGCAGGCGACGTTAATGGCAGCCTGATCCAAGGAGCCATTTATCTAATGAGCTGAAACTGATCAATTACTGAAATAATCATCAACTAATTTAGTTATTAATGGTAAAACATTCCTTAAGCTGGCAGAGCGACCCACTTAGAGCAGGAATTATACCAATATAATAAAATAATATAGAAACATTTTGCATTTTAAGATTAAAAAAAAATGTTTCTATCTGCTCGATGCAGAACTCCTCAGGTGGAAAAGTTTAAGTTTCACTTGGTTTCATTTAGTAATCGAGGAAATAATCAACTGATTAATTAATTTGCAAAGTAATTGTAGAGATAGAGTAAAGATCAGAGTCCTGATCATCTCAGGCAGAGCGGATCTAAACCTTCTGTTCCTGGTAGGAACGTTTGCAGGAGCCTGAAGCCAACGTCTACAGAGCAAAGGGTCCATTTCCTGCATAGTTTGGCTGCTGATCAGGCAAGCAGAGAGAAAAAAGAGCTGATTGGTTGTCAGGGGCAGCAGCCGTCCAATCAGGCGACAGAGGAACCGGTCAGACCAGTGAGGTTTAAACCAGTCTACCAGGAAGCAGCGTAGATCCAGAGGCAGAGAGCAGAGTTCAGACCAACTGCACCAGAACCTGACGGCCAGCTGTAGAACTATAGATAAAGGACCCAACCCAAAGAGAAACTCTAGGATAAAAACTGAAACATTTCTAGAATCCAGCAGCATCGACAGGCGGTCTGAAACCTGTCAGAACCTCAGGTAAGGTCCAGTTATGACAGAACCTAACCCTCAGATCCCACATCCTCCGTATTATTAAATGTTTGGATGCAAACTCTCGGTTCTTCAACAGACCAGGAAGCAGATTTCTCATCTTCATCTAAATATTTATTTTATACCGAGAGGCTTAAAAGTTTAATCAGATCCAAAGTGAACCTCAGAGCTTGGAATGTAGAGATGCTGAGTTTGGAAGCAGAGAGCAAACACAGTTCATTTGATCCTAGTTCTCCCTGCTACCAAAATCCACAACTATAAGAGAATATTTGGGCAGAAGCTGCATGTCTGCCGGATGCTGATGGGGATTTTTTAATATGTCTGTTAAATGAAGCGTTTCCACATGTTTTCCTCCTGAGTTTCATAATAATATGGCGCATGCTCTCCATGACCCAGAGGAAGTGTGAGCGGAGCAGGACGGCAGGAACAGCGGAGCCTGGAGGCGTTGCTTAGCGCAGGCGGTCTGGATCGGATACGGAGGATGGTGGATTTCAGGTTAGGGAAGGTTCTGGTGGTCTGGAAGTTCAGGATCGGTCCAATCAGTACATCTGGACCACCATGTTTCACTCATCCAGTTTTTATTTCTGGGCTTTCCAGATGTTCGCTGCTGGGCGGAGCCGATCCGTTCACTGCTGCTTTCAGACCAGCATCATATGAAACTTTTTCATTCAGACGAACAAACTCAGCTCTTCTAGATGTTCTGCTTCTAGATGGCAGTTCTGATCTCTATGGTTCTGATCCGTTTCCTCCCCCAGGAGAGCAGCATGAGTTTCTTTGTGACGCTCCAGTCCAACTTCCAGCATGTGATGCAGTATGAGAGCGCCGAGCTGCAGCTGAAGGCCCGCAGCGCCATCCCCCACCAGCAGCTGTCCTCCACTGCTCAGACCAAGCTGACGGAGCTGAAGGAGGCCGACCCAGGTGAAAGCCCCCCGCCACCCGCTGGGCCTGCTGGACCTGCTGTGCTCCCAGTGAGGGAACCCAGCTGTGCTCCCAGTGAGGGAACCCAGCTGTGCTCCCAGTGAGGGAACCCCGCTGTGCTCCCAGTGAGGGAACCTCGCTGTGCTCCCAGTGAGGGAACCTCGCTGTGCTCCCAGTGAGGGAACCCCGCTGTGCTCCCAGTGAGGGAACCCCGCTGTGCTCCAAGTGAGGGAACCCCGCTGTGCTCCCAGTGAGGGAACCTCGCTGTGCTCCCAGTGAGGGAACCTTGCTGTGCTCCCAGTGAGGGAACCCCGCTGTGCTCCCAGTGAGGGAACCTTGCTGTGCTCCCAGTGAGGGAACCTCGCTGTGCTCCCAGTGAGGGAACCCCGCTGTGCTCCCAGTGAGGGAACCTCGCTGTGCTCCCAGTGAGGGAACCTCACTGTGCTCCCAGTGAGGGAACCCCGCTGTGCTCCCAGTGAGGGAACCCCGCTGTGCTCCAAGTGAGGGAACCCCGCTGTGCTCCCAGTGAGGGAACCTCGCTGTGCTCCCAGTGAGGGAACCTTGCTGTGCTCCCAGTGAGGGAACCCCGCTGTGCTCCCAGTGAGGGAACCTTGCTGTGCTCCCAGAGAGGGAACCCCGCTGTGCTCCCAGAGAGGGAACCCCGCTGGGCTCCCAGTGAGGGAACCTTGCTGTGCTCCCAGAGAGGGAACCTTGCTGTGCTCCCAGTGAAGGAACCCCGCTGGGCTCCCAGTGAGGGAACCCCGCTGGGCTCCCAGTGAGGGAACCTTGCTGTGCTCCCAGAGAGGGAACCTTGCTGTGCTCCCAGTGAAGGAACCCCGCTGGGCTCCCAGTGAGGGAACCTTGCTGTGCTCCCAGTGAAGGAACCCCGCTGGGCTCCCAGTGAGGGAACCCCGCTGTGCTCCCAGTGAAGGAACCCCGCTGGGCTCCCAGTGAGGGAACCCCGCTGTGCTCCCAGTGAAGGAACCCCGCTGGGCTCCCAGTGAGGGAACCTTGCTGTGCTCCCAGTGAAGGAACCCCGCTGGGCTCCCAGTGAGGGAACCCCGCTGTGCTCCCAGTGAAGGAACCCCGCTGGGCTCCCAGTGAGGGAACCTTGCTGTGCTCCCAGTGAAGGAACCCCGCTGGGCTCCCAGTGAGGGAACCTTGCTGTGCTCCCAGTGGGGGAACCCCGCTGTGCTCCCAGTGAGGGAACCCCGCTGTGCTCCCAGTGAGGGAACCCCGCTGTGCTCCCAGTGAGGGAACCCCGCTGTGCTCCCAGTGAGGGAACCTCGCTGTGCTCCCAGTGAGGGAACCTTGCTGTGCTCCCAGTGAGGGAACCTTGCTGTGCTCCCAGTGAGGGAACCCCGCTGGGCTCCCAGTGAGGGAACCTTGCTGTGCTCCCAGAGAGGGAACCTTGCTGTGCTCCCAGTGAAGGAACCCCGCTGGGCTCCCAGTGAAGGAACCCCGCTGGGCTCCCAGTGAGGGAACCCCGCTGGGCTCCCAGTGAGGGAACCCCGCTGGGCTCCCAGTGAAGGAACCCCGCTGGGCTCCCAGTGAGGGAACCCCGCTGTGCTCCCAGTGAAGGAACCCCGCTGGGCTCCCAGTGAAGGAACCCCGCTGTGCTCCCAGTGAAGGAACCCCGCTGTGCTCCCAGTGAGGGAACCCCGCTGGGCTCCCAGTGAGGGAACCCCGCTGTGCTCCCAGTGAAGGAACCCCGCTGTGCTCCCAGTGAGGGAACCCCGCTGTATTCCCAGTGAAGGAACCCCGCTGGGCTCCCAGTGAGGGAACCTTGCTGTGCTCCCAGTGAAGGAACCCCGCTGTGCTCCCAGTGAGGGAATCCCGCTGTGCTCCCAGTGAAGGAACCCCGCTGGGCTCCCAGTGAGGGAACCTTGCTGTGCTCCCAGTGAAGGAACCCCGCTGGGCTCCCAGTGAGGGAACCTTGCTGTGCTCCCAGTGGGGGAACACCGCTGTGCTCCCAGTGAGGGAACCCCGCTGTGCTCCCAGTGAGGGAACCCCGCTGTGCTCCCAGTGAGGGAACCCCGCTGTGCTCCCAGTGAGGGAACCCCGCTGTGCTCCCAGTGAGGGAACCCCGCTGTGCTCCCAGTGAGGGAACCTCGCTGTGCTCCCAGTGAGGGAACCTTGCTGTGCTCCCAGTGAGGGAACCCCGCTGGGCTCCCAGTGAGGGAACCCCGCTGGGCTCCCAGTGAGGGAACCTTGCTGTGCTCCCAGAGAGGGAACCTTGCTGTGCTCCCAGTGAAGGAACCCCGCTGGGCTCCCAGTGAGGGAACCCCGCTGGGCTCCCAGTGAGGGAACCTTGCTGTGCTCCCAGAGAGGGAACCTTGCTGTGCTCCCAGTGAAGGAACCCCGCTGGGCTCCCAGTGAGGGAACCTTGCTGTGCTCCCAGTGAAGGAACCCCGCTGGGCTCCCAGTGAGGGAACCCCGCTGTGCTCCCAGTGAAGGAACCCCGCTGTGCTCCCAGTGAAGGAACCCCGCTGTGCTCCCAGTGAGGGAACCTTGCTGTGCTCCCAGTGAGGGAACCTTGCTGTGCTCCCAGTGAGGGAACCCCGCTGTGCTCCCAGTGAGGGAACCTTGCTGTGCTCCCAGTGAGGGAACCTTGCTGTGCTCCCAGTGAGGGAACCTTGCTGTGCTCCCAGTGAGGGAACCCCGCTGGGCTCCCAGTGAGGGAACCCCGCTGTGCTCCCAGTGAAGGAACCCCGCTGTGCTCCCAGTGAGGGAACCCCGCTGTGCTCCCAGTGAAGGAACCCCGCTGGGCTCCCAGTGAGGGAACCTTGCTGTGCTCCCAGTGAAGGAACCCCGCTGTGCTCCCAGTGAGGGAATCCCGCTGTGCTCTCAGTGAGGGAACCCCGCTGGGCTCCCAGTGAGGGAACCTTGCTGTGCTCCCAGTGAAGGAACCCCGCTGTGCTCCCAGTGAGGGAATCCCGCTGTGCTCTCAGTGAGGGAACCCCGCTGTGCTCCCAGTGAGGGAACCCCGCTGTGCTCCCAGTGAGGGAATCCCGCTGTGCTCTCAGTGAGGGAACCCCACTGTGCTCCCAGTGAGGAACCCAGCTGTGCTCCCAGTGAGGGAATCCTGCTGTGCTCTGTGTGCAGATGCTAAAGTCGGACTGGAGGACTGCCTGGTGCTGGAGCTGCTGCGGTGGTTCAAGCAGGACTTCTTCTCCTGGGTGGACCGTCTGCCCTGCAGCCGCTGCGGGGGTCCCACCACACACGGACAGGCGCTCAGTCCCACGGCCGAGGAGCTGCGCTGGGGCGCCCAGCGGGTGGAGAACCACTACTGTCAGAGCTGCCAGTTGTCCACCAGGTTCCCACGGTGGGTCTGTGGCGCCGCCTGGAGGAGGAGCTGTGGATTCAATTATTAGAGCAGATCAGGGCTCTGCAACCTGCGGCTCTGTGGACCCGCTACTGCTGCTCCTTATAGCGGCTAACATCTATAGAAGAGCTAAAGGCGCGGCGGCCTAGTGGTTAGGGCATAGAGCTGGGAATCCTGAAGTTCTGAGCTCTGTGGGAGCAAAGACCCGTAACCCCACCTTGCTCCCCGGGCGCCGCACAATGACAGCCCACTGCTCCCCGGGGGGGAGGGGTTAAATGCAGAGAGGGAATTTCTCCAGTGTGAGATCAATTAATTTCAATTATTATTAAATGATGTACTAAATATCTAAAACGCTTCAGTGGTTTTTATAAGATGAAAAAGAATTAAATTAAAAGAACCAGAAAAATGTTATACAGCCATTTCTCCTTTAATAAGATTTGAATTTATGTGTTTTAATAATATTTTAAAAGCTAAAAATACATCAATTGTTGGTTGTTTAAGATGGAAACTATTTTCCTATACGAGGTAATAGAAGAAAAAAGTATAAAATATAACGTGTTGTTGGATAAACTCAGTTTATATGTTGTGGCTCTAAACGACTTTAACTCGTCGGACTCGGGGCCCAAAGGCTCTGTGGATATAAAGGTTGCAGACCCCTGATCTAGATTCATTTCCCATAATCCTCCTGTTCTCCATCATGGCTCCTCGCACGCTGACCTGCTGCTTTTGTTTCCTGCAGCTACAATCATCCTGAGAAGCTGTTAGAAACCAGGAGGGGGCGCTGTGGAGAGTGGGCTAACTGCTTCACGCTGTGCTGCAGGGCTCTGGGCCTGGAGGCGCGCTACGTCTGGGACAGCACAGGTACGGCTCTGCTTCAGGTCTGCGTGGGTCCTGCTGAGGCTCAGGCTGCGTCCGTCTGCTTTCAGACCACGTCTGGACGGAGGTCTACTCGGAGTCTCAGCGCCGCTGGCTGCACTGCGACTCCTGCGAGAACGCGTGCGATAAGCCGCTGCTGTACGAGGTGGGCTGGGGGAAGAAGCTGGCCTATGTTCTGGCGTTCTCCAAGGATCAGGTCAGAGGAACCATCAGACCAGCCCGGCGCTCCACCTGCAGCTCTGGTCTCCTCTCCTTCTGAGATAAACGTCTCTTCCTCCTACAGGTGGTGGATGTAACATGGAGGTACTCCTGCAAACACCCGGAGGTTCTATCCAGGAGGACCCGGGTCCAGGAGGCGTGGCTGCTGCACACCATCAATGGGCTCAATGCTGCTGTGAGTGCTAGCGTCTCTCTGTGATTGGATGGCGGCGCCGCTCTAACCCTGACACCTCTCTCCTCCAATGAAGAGGCAGCAGACCCTGAGCGCCGAGCGGAAGGCGGAGCTGACGGAGAGGCTGCTGGTGGAGCTGGTGGAGTTCATCTCCCCCAAGAAACCCAAGGCTGGGGAGCTGGGGGGCCGCAGCTCGGGTTCGCTGGCCTGGAGGTTAGCGCGAGGAGAAACCAGAGCGGCGGCGGCTGGGACGCCCACACAGGTGGGGGGGGGGGTTACTTTTATTTAAAAATAGACTCTTTAGTTTTGTTTCATTTAAACTCATTTTTATTATGGCCTGTTGGTATTTAAAAACAAAAATTAAATAATTAGTTTCATCCAGAAATTTATTTCTTTGTGGTTGGACTCGGTGCTGCCCCAACTTGTTGCTCACTTTACCCAAAAAAGATTGTTTTTTTTCAAGATAGTACAAAGTTAAATTTGACAGCGTTATAGACAGTTAGACAACTAATAAAATGATGTTCTCATCCAGAATAGTATAAGAACGTTCCTTTAATGCGTTCACACGGCACGCTCTGAGCAGCACTAGCAGCTGCTTTACATCCAACTATATGGTCGACGCCCATCAAAAACTCCTGGAGCGCGTCTAGAGCAGCCTCTGAGGCGCTTCAGACGCAGCAGTAGGGGTGTAAATATCATCTATCATGGTGATTCGATTCAGCGTCGACTTCCTGACCCAATGATTTGATTATTTTTGATACTCAAAAAAATACCACAATACGATTCGATTAATTGGTTAATTTTTTTATTTTTTCACCTTACAGACTTAGACAATGTTTCAAGTTTGAAATAAATCAATGAAAGCTGTAATATCGTTATGCATTTTATTTGAGAATCAACAGCAAATAACAGAAGTAGAAAAGTTGTACTCCATCTATTCCTATTAAAACCTCATTCACCGAAAAATAATAATCCCCCTGGGTTATAGATTCTGAAAGGCTTTACATCAGAAATACTGCAGAAAATCAGTGCAATGAGTGCAATGCAATACCCCGGCTCCAGACGTCCCGCCCCCTCCACAGACGCTCCGCTGCTCCTCTCCCTAATCGTAGCTGACCGCAGACAGGAGGCCGGCTTGTTTTGTTTTTATGACCGAAATGTCGGAAAACAACTCGTGAAGTTTGACCCGCTAGAAGAGCGAGGTGCGCGAGAACGCTGGGACCCTTTTTCCACCTGGATCTCCGCTCTTTTTGGCCATCATGTCCCTCCGTCGTCGGACTAAACTCGCCCCCACTTCCTCGCCGCCTCGGCCGTATCTAGACCCACAGCGTGTAGCTCAGACCACGCTTCAATATTGAGCATAAATCAAAAATGTCTGCATCAAGCTCACTGCGACACACTGCTGTAAGAGTATAACCAGGAAGCGAAGTAGGAGGGCACAATAGGACCTCATCATTACATCATACATGTTAGCAGATGAGGAGGCATCCATGGCTCCAGCTTTATCAAATTATTAGACTTTGTTCTTAGCTGAAGGACGCCGCTCTCATTCCATTCCCAAATATTTGCCACGTTTAGAATGAAGATTATAACGTTTATAGCCGGACAGAGAAACAGTCCTAATCAGATAAACTACTGGGGGAAAACCTCAGTTCTGACTGACAGCAGGCAGCTGATAGAAAGCTGATAGAAACTCACACATCATCACTTTTACACTGGAGTTTTGTTGTTTGAATATTAATACTATTGTAAAAATAAATGAAACCATTACTGTCCCCATTTCCTTATATCATCTTGATGAAATGTACTTTTTTTTTTTTAGCTACAAGCTGGAAATGATAGGATTTCATAAATCTGCTCACCTTAAGCTGAGGAGACTCTTCATGGCTGTAGGAGACCCCATGATGGGAAGTTTGGGAAACGTCTGACACCTTCTCATCTTCTGCCTCCATGTTTGTTTCAGGCTGAAGCTTTTGTTTTTACTCCGACGGAGGAAGAGAAGAAGTCCAGGCTGCTGCACGTGCGCTACTGCGCCGCCCAGGACCAGTACTGCCGGGTGTCCAGCTCCTCGGAAACCCTCCTAAACTGGGAGCGCTGTGTGTGGACCAGGGAGTCTGTCTTCAGGAAGGAGGAGAAGGACTGGAAGATGGTGCGTTGCATCTTGTAATGGCCAATAAATCAAAGTTTGGGCTAAACAGGGACGCTGCAAAAAGCCAACATCTAAAGTCAGTTTTTATAAAAATCAGCACATTTTTTCTTGAATTGAGGAGGAAAGGGAAACACTTACAATAAGAAAAAACTATTGCAATGTGTTATTTCAAGCCCATATTATCTAATTCTCTTATTTTAAGAAGAAAAATCATCTTATTTACCTGCTCAATTTAAGGCTAAATACACTTAATTTAAGACATTTTTACTTATTTCTAGTTGATTTTTGCAGTGAAACATCAGGCTGTTAATGGCAGAGGAGGGTCAGGCTCTCTATTGGTTATTTGAACCAACATTAAACCGTTTTAAGGTTTAAACTGTAATAAATTGAAAACAGCTTTCCTTAACTTTGCCTGTCTGGACTGAGAAACCAGCCGGCGTTCCGTCAGACCAGTAAACCCAGAGTAAATACCCGTTTATCCTAGAGATGCACGATATAATCGGCCCCCTATCGGTATCGGCCTTAAAACTGAATATCGGACATCGGCCACCCCCCCCCGATATTTAACCCGATATTTGATCAGCTTCTGAGTTTCTACTAAAAAAAATTAAAAAAATTATACTCAAAAACTTCTTTTTTACAGACTTAAAAACTTCTAAAGACGAGGGAAAAAATATTGATCCATTAAAATATCCCAATATCTTCATATGCTGATATATTGCCATTTAAAAACACCATATCAATCTCTTTGACTAATGAAATATTGCTATATGTCATCGTTATGCTACGAAATCCCCCGAAAATTCACCAAATGCTGCCATATTTTTATATGTTGATATATTGTCACGGTATCGATCTATTTTACTAACAAAATCTCACAAGAATTTGCAAAATATCACGAGAGTTTGTAACAGAACGATGAAATTTCACCAGATTTTGAAAGTAAAATAGATCAATACCGCGTTTTTAAAAATCTATTTGATATCAGCATATGAAAATATATTTGAGTATATTATTTTTCAAAGTGTCAGAAATGGATAACAAAACTGCTATTTTCAATGACTATTTATTTTTGTCCAGCTTTAACATCGGTATCGATATCGGTTATCGGCTACATGAGTTTTAAAATATCGGCATATCGGCCAAAATCCCAATATCCTGCATCCCTAGTTTATCTCTTTAGTTTTGAATGAAAACAGACTGTATCCCTTTAGTCATGTAAAAAAAAAAGCAATTGAATAACTTGATTTCTGATGTTTTTTGAAGCGTATGGCGATCTAACATTACATTATTTTATTTAGTTTTTGTACACGATTAAAGGCACACGCCTGTTGAGGTAAAGTCTAAGGGATAAACTCCAACCTGAGGTCTTACGCATGCGTATTGACTAATTGACTGTAGGTATGCTGGTCTGACAGAGCAGCGGGTTAAACCTGGCGGAGGTGGTCGCCCAGCTGATGGAGCTTCTCTCCTCAGGTGTACATCGCCCGGACAGAGGGCTCTTCTGTGGGAAGGATCAGCTGGAAGTTCAACTTTGCTCCTGCTGGGTTGAAGGTCGACTCTGTCTCCATCATGGCCAGCAGCCAGACCTTCCACTCCGGGAGAGTCTGCTGGAGTCTGCGCTCGGGGCCCGTAACCACGGAGTTCTCTGCCGGTAAATGATCCCCGCCTGAATGACGGTACAGCGGTACCTGACCCTGTCTGACCCTCCTCTCCTGTCTGACCCCTCAGATGGGAAGCTGCAGTCGTTCCCCAGCCTGTCTGGATCCTCAGAGCTGATTGTGGCGGCGGAGCTCAGCGGGGGAGAGGGGAGCTGCTCATGGCAGCACTCTCAGCTGTTTAGGCAGGCCTTAAAGGAACAGGAGCCGTCGTTTGAAGTCATCATCCACCTTCAAGACGCTTAACCACATCTTTTACTTTAATGTGACTGTTTTCCACTTTCCTGTCCTGATCTGTTTGGATTTAATGAGGCAGAGTGGTGCAATATTTACAGGTGATTGCCCTGATGACGGATGGATGGATGGACGGACGAATGGATGGACGGATGGATGGACAGAAAGATAGACGGATGGATGGGGACATTATGTGTTTTGCTCTTACTTGGATTTTCTTGGGGCATTAAATCTTCAGAGGTAGAACTTCAACCATAAGCCATATGGTTTTCAGATATTTCCTTCCAATAAAATAAATCTATATTTACAGCTTGTGGCACAAAGACAAACTGTCCCAGCCTGTTTCCTTTTAGTAATAAAATGCTCTTATCTGCCTGTGTTGGGCTCTGAGTTCATACTAACCGCCGCTGTTAAAGGAGGAGGAATCTAAAGCTGCCAGAAGCGATTTAATCTAACGATAAACTCTCCTCCCACAGTTTTACTTCCCTAAAGTTAGAAGTTTGGTAAATGTTGAGGAGCTGAAGCGGGGTTTTCTGCCGCCATCTTGCGTTAAGAAGAGAGCAGCGCTCCCTCAGAGCCGGCGGCTCCTATTGGTCAGAACCTTCCAAAAGCTGGCCTCTGATTGGCTGCTTTGCCGTCTGTGTTGTAGATGGCGGAGCCGGACATCAGGCGCTGCTGTTAGCTTAAATGCGCTTTTATTATTAAATTAAGACAATATTTAATGAATTATTTTCAGGGGGGTTTCATTTAACTTAACATTTTACTGCTTGTCCGTGAAATTAAGCAGTTATTTGCGTGTTTAGTTTCGTATTTATTTATAGCTGAGGCTGGATCTCGGTTAGCATCTTTGTTAAAGTTTAGGCCCTCCGAGCCTCCGGCTCGATTTTAACAATAGCCGCGCCGCTCGCCTCTCAGGCGGTTCTCTTGGAGAAGAAGAAGAAGATGGATGAGAAAGCCTTTCTGGTTCCGGTTAGCATGTAAGACGCGCTTAAGGTTGAAGGACTTTTAAATCCACCGGAGCTGAAGACATTTAGAGCCGCAGCATCAATAAAGCATCACAAAGGAAGATGTCCAACGGAGGGCTGTCCTGGACGGTGAGTCCCCCGCTTTAAAGGCTCCTGGGTCTGATTAAAGCCCTGAGCTGGACCCCACGGGCCGGGGACGGGTCTCAGCACAACCGCCACGGCCTGGCAGGGAGGACAGGGACCCGGGCCGAGGGGTCCAGATGGACCGACATGTCTCTGGGGTTCAGCTCCTCCTGATGGTTTCACCCAGAATCACCTTTAAACAGACTTTAAAGCTTTGTTCTCTTTCTAATCTGATGAAATTATCATAATCTAAAATAATCCGCTCAGCTACAGACCAGATTAAGTTATTCTGTTTTAATTACAACAGAGCAGAAACATTGAATGAGATGATCCATTATTGAAATAATGTCTGAATGTGATCAATTAATCATCATCTGAAACTTAGAGATTAAAAAACAATCCAAATTGGACCAAAAACAAACCTTTTCCAGTCAGTTTATGCTCCACCTGATGGATAAATAATAAAATCCAAGCATCATAAAGTTTTCATCGCATGAATCAGTTTGTTTTTCAGCCCTGCTCCTCCACACTGAGAAATATCTAAAACTAAATAAGTCATTTTTTATTAAAATAAGTGAATTTATACTTGAATTAAGAACGCTTTGCCAATGGAATGAGAAAATTAACATTTAAAACATGAAAAAGAATTGCATCGTCGTCTTTCAAGAGCATATTATCTAATTATCTTACTGTAAGAATAAAAATCCTCATTCCATTGGCAGACCATCCTATTCACCGGCTCAGATTAAGGATAAATACACTTCATTGAATAAATGTTGACTTATTTCCGGATGGTCACTGATCGGCGTGTTTTGGGTTTTTCTCTGAGGACGATGATCCTGATAATCTGCTATGAATCAGGTGTGAGACATTGCTGAGCTGCTGCTGCAGGCTGAACGCAGCAGGCAGCCAGAGACTGAACTGGAACCTGTAGAAGGTTCTTCACCTGTTAAGTCTTAAAAAACATTCATATCCAACATGTTTCTGTTTTTAATAATGAATTGATTTATTCTTAGACCAATGAATAAATGAATCGATTGGTGAATGAATGAATAATGAACACTTCCTGCTCTCCTCTCTGTGTCTGTGTTTAGATTTTCTTCCCTGGTTTTTCTGCATCCTGCTGCTTCAGGATATTTCACCATTTATTTAACATTATCTATGCTTCTTTTTCTATGTCTGCTTCTGTCTCCTTGAACCCCAGTGGGCCTCAGCAGATGGCCGCTCACACTGAGCCTGGTTCTGCTGGAGGTTTCTTCCTGTTCAAAGGGAGTTTTTCCTCTCCACTGTCGCTACAAGCATGCTTAGTGTGAGGGATTGCTGAAGAGTCAATGAGTCGATGCAATCAGCTGGTTTTCCTTAGATAGAAAACTTTGAATCAATCTGACTAAATGATCTGGTTCATCTGGATCTATAAAGTGACCTGAGATGACATGATGGGAATTGAAGCTATAGAAATAAACTGAATAGAATTTAGATAAGAAATGAGTAGATTTGAGGCGTGCTGCATGCTAGCAGAACAAGGTTTGGTTCCGTTCTGGTTCTGTCGGCTTCAATAGCCCATTCATTTCCCTTCCCTGTAGAAACGATGGAGAGATCAGTCCCAGCACGGTAACCACGGTAACAGTTGAGTGTAAATGGAACGCACAACTGAACCAAAACGTGCTAACATGGTGCTAGTTCACCAGTAGGGCTCGGCACGGTTCAGTTCTGGCTCGGTTTTCTGATAACAAAGAGCGCATCAGCAGACCGCGTCATCTCCTCACAGTCAGCCTCTGGAATCAGGAAACTTTAGACTTTCCTTAAAATTCTAGATCCCAATGTGCCGCATGCTTTCCAGTGATGATTCTGCTCAGCAGTGAGATGAACCTCATCGTCTGTTGTTGTTTCCTGCGTCTGGAAGTCCTGATTAGACTATCGTTGATTAGACGATCGTTGATTAGATGATCGTTTGTCGTATCCACTTCCCAAACGCCGACTCTGTCAAGTAAACTCACCAATGGCTGCCTTCTTTGCCTGACTCTCTGCAGACTTCCTGAATGTTACGGGTGCCGCCATGTTGGTTTGCTTGTTTACCTCTAGAGGGCAGTAGTACCGTAGATCGCCTGTAGGAGGCGAGGAACCGTGCTAGCATGGCGTGTTAACGGTCGTAGGGAAGCGAACTCGGCACGGGTCGGTTTCAGAGGTGAGTGGAAATGGGTGTAAAGTCCAGGACTGTGATGGACTGGCAGCCCTGCTTCCTCTGACCCAGTGACCCAGTGACCCAGTCACTGCTGGAACCATGATCCAGCTGAGGTCTGAGAGCAACAGGAGGGCAGCAGGTCCCTGGCAGAGCAGTGAACAGTGAGGGGTAGGATGGAGTACCCAGAGAGAACCAGGCATGCAGCAGGGCCACTCTGGGTCTTTACTGTTAATCCACCTGGTCTCAGTACTGACCCGCTGTGACCAGCATCTAGAATAGAAAATGACCAAAATGCAAACAGCCAATCGTCTCGGTTATCTCTTAAGCAGCCAGCTGACCGTCTGATTCACTGCAGGACTGATTCTTTCTGACTGTTTGCATCCAGGTTTGGTTTTGATCACATTCTGATCAAAATGCTGTTTATCAGTCAGAGTATTCAGGTTTATTACTGCAGTAGAAATCCTGCTGTTTAAAACACTTCTGTAGAAGTTAGAGGATCAACTTCACCTTTTACTCCAGTAAAAGTATAAAAGTTCAATTTTTAAAACTATTTAAAGTATAAAAGTAAAATTAATGTAGGAAAAACTGTTAAGGCCGGAAGCTTTACTGCTCTACTCTATTAAATGAACATTTTTCTACCATTCTGGATGATAACTTCCTTAGATTTAATTTTCTTAGTTTTCTAACTAATTGTAACAGCGTCACATTTAACTTTGCATCATGTGTAAAAATGTTTTATTTTGGTCCAACAGGACGCTGCTAATGGCAGAGGGGACGGGGGGAAGATGGAGGGAGGGAAGAAGGACAAGGCGGCCTCCAAGCTGTCGGTGGAGCGGGTCTACCAGAAGAAGACCCCTCTGGAGCACATCCTGCTGCGTCCGGACACGTACGTGGGCTCCCTGGAGCCTGTCACCCAGGTAACCCCCACACGGCGTCTTTCAGCACCTCCTGAATGTTGGGATGTTGGGGTGAATGATCTCTGACGTTTTTTTCTCAGCAAATGTGGGTGTTTGATGAAGACGTGGGAATGAACCAGCGGGAAATCACCTACGTTCCCGGCCTCTACAAAATCTTTGATGAAATCCTGGGTGAGTTGAAGCTCCTGGAGGCTTTGCTCAGTGATGGGACGGCAGATGCTGGCAGGGTTTGTTCTGAGAGCAGGATCCAGATGAAAGCGGCTGACCTCACAGCACGGATTGGACCCGTGATGCTATGGGCTGGATGTGATGGGTTTAATGGGCCGCCTCTCTGGGAGGGGGGCTCCAGGGCCGCTGATGTTCAGTGGAAACATCAGCTGGTCCTGAATGCGGGGATGACTGTCGGCATCATGGGAGGAGGGAGCCGCTGTAGGTACCAGATCTGCCCGGGGCCACGCCCCTACTTATGACATCATCATACGGCAACTCCACTCGGACAAACTGTATTTAAACATTTCTTTGGCTATAGATCCATCTCACATAGATTCAGCCTTCCTCGCCGGGTCATTTAGCCTCTAAGCTAAGTCTCTTGGCGCTCATAGGAGGCTGTGAGCAGCTGCTGCAGAGGGAGGGCCCCCCCCTCAGCACCAACGGCTCCGTTTGGTCCCGACCCAAAAAGGAAACCCTCAGATAAAGGTTCTCTGTGGTGCAGAGCGAGCAGCTGGGGGCCGGGTCACATGGTTCTGATTGATCCCACCTCCAGGCTAACAGCAGGCAGCGATCCCTGTCATCATCACAGACCCTCCCAGCATCCCTGTTCTGTCCCGGTTCTGTTCCTGGCCCGGTCCGGGTTCCACTGCATCCTCTGACTCCATGTTGTTTCTCTCACAGTCAATGCCGCAGACAACAAGCAACGGGACAAGAACATGACTTCCATCAAGGTCACCATCGACCCGTGAGTACTGATAGGATCTGAACTCGGGCCTCCATCCTGTCTGGCTGCCTGTGGTCCAAACAGGTGGCTGAGGGTTCTGTTCGGTTGATCAGAGCTGGAGCGCAGAACACAGCGAACCTGATGCAGAACATATGTGATGTCAGACGAGGTCGTGGCGTTTGGAGCTCATTGAAAGTCAGAGGGGAGGATTTCCTGCAGGGGGCAGCATAGCTCCAGCTGAGAGAGAGCCTCTGATCTCTGTTCCCTGGTTGCTGATAGTCCATTGGTAGTGAAGCCACCGGCAGCCATATTGGTACTCCCTACTTAGACTGGTCTCGATGTAAACAATCGGTGTCCTGCAGCATCAAACAACCATGATGTTCTGATTTTCAGGGAGAATTAAGACTTTTAAAATAAAGATAAATTGATCACTTTGACACAGACTGTTTCATAGCATCAGCAGATTAACTTTAACTTAGAATAAAACAAATAGGCCCATCACATTGCAGAGTCATTATGAAGTCTATATAAATAAATATAATATAACATATTATACAATCTATCACAATAAAATGAATGTGTTAATGGAGCAGAATAAAACAGATGAGCCAAAAGTGATGATTTTACATAAAGACTGAATTACCAGTAAATGTCTGTTAATGTTTTAGTATTTTCCTATTTGCAGATTATGAATGAATGATGCTGTATACTTAAAGCTGTGTCTGTAAATTAGCCTTTAAAAATGTTTGAGTTGTTTTTTTCCATCAATATAACCTGCAATATATTTCAGCACATTTTCAAATGAGAAATAAACAAACGCTACAAAAACTACAGCATCATCCACTTAATAAATAATTCCTACATTAACATTTCCCAGTGAATGACTTTCTATTTGCTCTATTTTCTAACGTTAGACCCAATGTCAGTGTCTAACTCAGTCAATGTCTTCCAGTCAGTCTGAGAGAGCCAGACTAATGTTAGTCTGCAGACTAAACTATAGGATCCATCGGCTATAGATGGATTTACTGACTGGGAAATTACCAGCTGAACGTCTTCCTGCAGACAGAAAACTGCTGGTTTTAGCAGCCAAATGCTGCACAGGGAGGCATTTTAAATGCACATCTCCGTGGGAGTGGGGAGTACCAATATGGTGGATGGTGGCTTCACTTTTTCCGGCAATCCAGTTAATGAATAGAGATCAGTGGATAGAGTCCAGGTCTATTTCAGCAGCAATTTCATGGGTCTGACAGCAAGAGAGACGCAGTTACAAAGTAAAACTCATCCGCTTTTAAAAAATGATAAATGAAACATTAAATAGAAAACTTTCCCCATGATAGGAGTTCAGGAGGAGAGGAAACGGATAAAGCAGTGATCCTCTTTGAGCCTCACAGAAACCAGAATCAGGAGGAGCAGACAGAGCAGGTCAGCGAAGCGGATCTCTCTCACCTCTTTAGGAAAAAAGAAAGAAAAACTTGGAGAAACTTCCCAGATCTCTCTGAGAATCGCCTCTCTGTCACCATGGAAACCGTCCCACAGAGTTTATTGCTGCTTTTTTCTTTTTTTTACTCGTAGATCTCATTATGTTTTTAATAGATGAACATTCTCTATCTGTTCTGGTTCTAGATGCTGCACAGACTAGTTAAAATTATTTATTTATAACTTTTTATAGTCTGTCCATCAAATGTAAGAAATAGTTTTAATTTCAGAGACAGAAGTGGAAAATAATCTGCTCACCCTGCCTAGTCAGAGCCTCTCTATGCACAGACAGGATGGGACCAGTTAGCGTTTCCGTCCCACGCTGCAGACAGGATGGGATCAGTTAGCGTTTCCGTCCCACGCCGCAGACAGGATGGGATCAGTTAGCGTTTCCGTCCCACGCCGCAGACAGGATGGGATCAGTTAGCGTTTCCGTCCCACGCTGCAGACAGGATGGGATCAGTTAGCGTTTCCGTCCCACGCCGCAGACAGGATGGGATCAGTTAGCGTTTCCGTCCCACGCCGCAGACAGGATGGGATCAGTTAGCGTTTCCGTCCCACGCTGCAGACAGGATGGGATCAGTTAGCGTTTCCGTCCCACGCTGCAGACAGGATGGGATCAGTTAGCGTTTCCGTCCCACGCTGCAGACAGGATGGGATCAGTTAGCGTTTCCGTCCCACGCCGCAGACAGGATGGGATCAGTTAGCGTTTCCGTCCCACGCCGCAGACAGGATGGGATCAGTTAGCGTTTCCGTCCCACGCCGCAGACAGGATGGGACCAGTTAGCGTTTCCGTCCCACGCCGCAGACAGGATGGGATCAGTTAGCGTTTCCGTCCCACGCCGCAGACAGGATGGGATCAGTTAGCGTTTCCGTCCCACGCCGCAGACAGGATGGGACCAGTTAGCGTTTCCGTCCCACGCCGCAGACAGGATGGGATCAGTTAGCGTTTCCGTCCCACGCCGCAGACAGGATGGGATCAGTTAGCGTTTCCGTCCCACGCCGCAGACAGGATGGGATCAGTTAGCGTTTCCGTCCCACGCCGCAGACAGGATGGGACCAGTTAGCGTTTCCGTCCCACGCCGCAGACAGGATGGGATCAGTTAGCGTTTCCGTCCCACGCCGCAGACAGGATGGGATCAGTTAGCGTTTCCGTCCCACGCCGCAGACAGGATGGGACCAGTTAGCGTTTCCGTCCCACGCCGCAGACAGGATGGGACCAGTTAGCGTTTCCGTCCCACGCCGCAGACAGGATGGGATCAGTTAGCGTTTCCGTCCCACGCCGCAGACAGGATGGGATCAGTTAGCGTTTCCGTCCCACGCCGCAGACAGGATGGGATCAGTTAGCGTTTCCGTCCCACGCCGCAGACAGGATGGGACCAGTTAGCGTTTCCGTCCCACGCCGCAGACAGGATGGGATCAGTTAGCGTTTCCGTCCCACGCCGCAGACAGGATGGGATCAGTTAGCGTTTCCGTCCCACGCCGCAGACAGGATGGGATCAGTTAGCGTTTCCGTCCCACGCCGCAGACAGGATGGGACCAGTTAGCGTTTCCGTCCCACGCCGCAGACAGGATGGGATCAGTTAGCGTTTCCGTCCCACGCCGCAGACAGGATGGGACCAGTTAGCGTTTCCGTCCCACGCTGCAGACAGGATGGGATCAGTTAGCGTTTCCGTCCCACGCTGCAGACAGGATGGGATCAGTTAGCGTTTCCGTCCCACGCCGCAGACAGGATGGGATCAGTTAGCGTTTCCGTCCCACGCTGCAGACAGGATGGGATCAGTTAGCGTTTCCGTCCCACGCCGCAGACAGGATGGGATCAGTTAGCGTTTCCGTCCCACGCCGCAGACAGGATGGGATCAGTTAGCGTTTCCGTCCCACGCCGCAGACAGGATGGGATCAGTTAGCGTTTCCGTCCCACGCCGCAGACAGGATGGGACCAGTTAGCGTTTCCGTCCCACGCCGCAGACAGGATGGGACCAGTTAGCGTTTCCGTCCCACGCCGCAGACAGGATGGGATCAGTTAGCGTTTCCGTCCCACGCCGCAGACAGGATGGGATCAGTTAGCGTTTCCGTCCCACGCCGCAGACAGGATGGGACCAGTTAGCGTTTCCGTCCCACGCCGCAGACAGGATGGGATCAGTTAGCGTTTCCGTCCCACGCCGCAGACAGGATGGGACCAGTTAGCGTTTCCGTCCCACGCCGCAGACAGGATGGGACCAGTTAGCGTTTCCGTCCCACGCCGCAGACAGGATGGGATCAGTTAGCGTTTCCGTCCCACGCCGCAGACAGGATGGGATCAGTTAGCGTTTCCGTCCCACGCCGCAGACAGGATGGGATCAGTTAGCGTTTCCGTCCCACGCCGCAGACAGGATGGGATCAGTTAGCGTTTCCGTCCCACGCCGCAGACAGGATGGGATCAGTTAGCGTTTCCGTCCCACGCCGCAGACAGGATGGGACCAGTTAGCGTTTCCGTCCCATGCTGCTGGCGCTGCTCGCTGACGGACCGCTGTGTTTTTCCAGGGAGTCCAACACCATCACCATCTGGAATAACGGCAAAGGGATCCCTGTGGTGGAGCACAAGGAGGAGAAGATGTACGTCCCTGCTCTCATCTTCGGCCACCTGCTCACCTCCAGCAACTACGATGATGATGAGAAGAAGGTGACGGGTAAGAGCAGTGGGGGGGTAGGGCTCCTAGCTTTAGCTTCCTCTGACGGATTGTTCTGGAAGTTCTGTAATGCTGATCTGTGTCCAGGTGGGAGGAACGGCTACGGCGCTAAGCTCTGCAACATCTTTAGCACCAAGTTCACCGTGGAAACGGCCTGCAAAGAGTACAGACACAGCTTCAAGCAGGTGAGCTCAGAGCGGGGGCAGCTATTGTTGCTAGTATCATTATGGGGTGTTCTGTCTCCATGGTCGCCTTTAATTCCTCCCATCATCTCATTTTAGTCTTCTTTGAGCAGGCCCTCCCAGCACTCTGCTCTTCCAGGTAAGGTTCTGGTAGCGACGGGCCGCGGCAGCATAGCTGGTGTCACCATGGGAACGAGGAATGACTGCACCTGGGTGTGAAGCGGCTGCAGCGGGAACGGCTCTAACATGCTGTGTGTTTGACCCTCAGACATGGCAGAACAACATGACCAAGACTTCTGAGCCCAAGATCAAGTTCTTCGACGGGGACGACTTCACCTGCGTGACCTTCCAGCCGGACCTGGCCAAGTTCAAGATGGACAAGCTGGACAGAGACATCGTGGCGCTGCTGACCCGCAGGGCGTACGACGTGGCGGGCTCCTGCAGGGGCGTCAAGGTCTCTCTGAACGGCAAGAAGTTACCGGTGAGTCTCCAGCAGGCTGCTAGCTAGCACTACTTCTCTGAAACCCTGTTTCCTGCATTTTAAGGTGGACTGCTACAAACATTTTCTCTTTGTTCCAACAATTCCATTCTATTCAGTTTATTTCTATAGCTCCAATTCACATCATGTCATCTCAGGTCACTTTATAGATCCAGATCATCCAGTCAGATTGATTCCAAGTTTTCTATCTAAGGAAAACCAGCTGATTGCATCGACTCATTGACTCTTCAGCAATCCCTCACACTAAGCATGCTGGTAGCGACAGTGGAGAGGAAAAACTCCCTACACTCCTTTAGTCCTGATTATGGGAAGGATGTTTGACTAGAGGTGGAAATTCAAACAATCTTAAACTTTCTGCTGAAGTTGAAACTTTATTTTTACATAAACAGCAAGTTGAACATCAATGACAAACTGAAAAACAGTCTAGAAATACTGAAACTAACCTGAAACCTGATTGTCACATTTCTATCTATCTGACTCTATCATTCCGTAAATGTGACCTGATGTGTTGAACAAGCAGCTGTGTTGTTCTGAAGGCCAGTTCTAGCAGCTGGAAACGTCCAAAGGCCAAAATTAGCTCACAGTTATCCACAAACATCCATTTATCCATCTTTTCGATGAAGAACCCTGAAAAATCTTTGCATCTGTTCAACATTTGCTACGGATTTAGTACTGATCGCCCTAAATAACATCTTTACTGAAAGAATCCCATGTAATTGTTAATCCTTATACTTGGAGAACATTTGATAACTGGACTATGTCGGACAAAAAACTGCTGCAAAAAGACAATCAGTGGAAAATAGTTAAAGCCTGAAGCTCCTGCAGTTGAGGACTGACTTAATATCGTTCGGGACATTTAGACACAGAGAAGTTCTCTTTCCATTCGGTCGAACAGATTCATCCTTCAGGATCTGGTCTAAATGGACAAACTAAATAAAACCAGTAATGCCTGTGGAATAAAAATCTTTCACAGGTAAATACTGTTGTTGTCTTCAGATTTTAAAAGACAGTTGGCGTCTCTACCAGAGCACAGTTAAAGAGGCAAAAAGGGAATATTTGGCAAATATCATTGCTTCAAACAGTCATAACCCACGTGTTTTATTTAACACCATTGACTTTGTGCTTAATATTTCTCAGAAGGCCTGTTTGGAAGCTTCTCCTGATGTGTGTGATGATTTTATGCGTTTCTTTATTGAAAAGGTTGGTAGTACCAGGGCTCTTATCACAGCTCCTGACTCTGACCCTTCAATTTCAGTCCCTTGCTCGGCTGCTTTCAATCAGTTTGAGCCTGTGACTGTCTTACTGTTAGAGGATGTGGTTCGCCACATTAAGCCATCAGGTTCCCCCCAGGATGCTGTGCCTCCACGACTTTTTAAAGATATTTTACCTAGCATAGGGCAGCCTGTTCTTGCAATTATAAATAGCAGTCTGTCCTCAGGTGTGGTCCCTGCTAGTTTTAAACATGCAGTAGTGCAGCCACTGCTTAAAAAACCTGGCCTTGATCCGACTGTTCTGGCTAATTATCGGCCTATTTCGAAGCTGCCTTTCCTTTCTAAGGTTTTAGAGAAAATTGTGTACTGTCAGCTGACACAGTTTTCAGATGACAATGGCATTCTGGAGGTTTTTCAGTCAGGCTTTAAAACTCTTCATAGTACAGAATCTGCTTTAATAAGAGTTTTTAATGACGTTCTTCTTGCATGTGATTCTGGTCACCATGTTGTTCTGATGTTACTTGACCTAACTGCTGCCTTTGATACAGTAGACCACAATATTTTAATATCGCGATTACACCACGTTGCTGGTATTGATGGCACTGTTCTTAAATGGTTCAGGTCTTACCTGGAGGAGAGGACTTTTTCAGTGAATATTAGTGGCTCTAAATCATCTGTTGCTTCAATGTCTTATGGTGTCCCACAGGGCTCAATTCTTGGCCCACTGCTTTTCTCTCTTTATATACTGCCTCTGGGTTCTATCCTTAGGAAACATGGGATTTCTTTTCATTGTTACGCTGATGATTGTCAGATTTATTTGCCCATACAGCAGCAGGATGTACATTCAATCAAACATCTCCTGGCATGTCTAGGAGATATTAAAGCTTGGTTGGCCTTGAACTTTCTAAACTTTAATGAAAACAAAACAGACGTGATGGTGTTTGGACCCAGTGGCTCTTGTGAGTCCTCCTCTGTTGACCTGGGACCTTTGCAGGTATATTTTAAACCTGTTATTACTGATCTTGGTTTTAAGGTGGACAGTGATTTTAAATTGGACAGCCAAATTAGAGCCGTGGTTAAGTCCAGCTTTTATCATTTAAGGCGATTGGCGTCAGTGAAATCTTTTCTTTCCAGGCAGCATTTTCAAACACTGATCCACGCTTTTGTTTCAACTCGATTGGACTACTGTAATGCACTTTATCTGGGTGTCAGTCAGTCGCTGCTCTCACGTCTGCAGCTAGTACAAAATGCTGCTGCACGACTTTTGACAGGTACTCGAAAGAGAGAACATGTGACCCCTGCCCTGGCCTCACTTCACTGGCTGCCTGTATATTTTAGGATTCATTTTAAAATTCTTATGTTTGTTTTTAAATCATTGCATAATCTTGCCCCAGCTTACCTCTCTGAGCTTCTTCATCCCTACGTACCCCATCGGTCTCTCAGGTCAGCAAATCAGCTGCTCTTGGAGGAACCGAGAACAAAAAGGAAGCTCAGAGGGGACAAGGCTTTCTCTGTTATGGGCCCCAAATTATGGAATGACTTACCTTTGCAGGTCAGAGAGGCCCCTTCTTTGCCCATTTTTTAAGCTCGTCTTAAAACCCATCTATTTTACTTGGCTTTCAACACCAGTGGGATCTAGTTTTAAATTGTATGTTTTTTGTTTTTAAACTGTTTTTAAATTATTTTTATTATGTTGTGTTCTTAAACTGTACAGCACTTTGTATCAACTGTGGTTGTTTTAAAGTGCTTTATAAATAAAGTTGGTATGGTATGGTATGGTATGGTTGTGCTGTGTGTTGTACCCCGGCTCAGGATGATGGCAAAATGTTGTTTCCCCCTGAGAAAAATCAGACTAGACTCCCCCCAAGGAACATTAGATATTCAACAATATTCCGGGCATTATTAGGGCGTACAAAAGCCATAGATCCCAAAACAAGGCAATATTTTTAGCTAAGGGAGTACAATGTACGCCTGGTCTCCAGGAAAGTGAAGTCTTTGGCTGCTAAAGTAATCCCATTACTTCTTGACCTCCTCTCTTACAGGTCAACGGCTTCCGGAGCTACGTAGATCTGTACGTGAAGGACAAGCTGGACGAGACGGGCGTCCCCCTGAAGGTCATCAATGAGATGGTGAACGAGCGCTGGGAGGTCTGCCTCACCATGAGCGAGAAGGGCTTCCAGCAGATCAGCTTCGTCAACAGCATCGCCACCACCAAGGTACGCAGCCGCTCGGGCCGGGGGGGCGGGGGCGGGGCCAGACGCAGGGACTGACCGTGGGCTCTGCATCACAGGGCGGCAGACACATCGACTACGTGGTGGAGCAGATCGTGGCCAAGCTCATCGAGGTGGTGAAGAAGAAGAACAAGGCTGGAGTGTCGGTCAAACCCTTCCAGGTAGAGTCGGCGGCCGTCCCACCTGAATCGGGGGCCCGCCTTTCCAACGGTTTAACCTTGTTTCTCTTCTGGGCCGCAGGTGAAGAACCACATCTGGGTCTTTGTGAACGCCCTGATCGAGAACCCCACCTTCGACTCTCAGACCAAGGAGAACATGACGCTGCAGACCAAGAACTTCGGCTCCAAGTGTGTCCTGTCTGAGAAGTTCATCCGAGCGGTAAGGTTTTCCTTCTACACGCCTTCGGTCGGGTGTTTGGACCCGGAAACGAGTCCTCTGTCCCCCACAGGCCACCAACTGTGGGATCGTGGAGAGCATCCTGAACTGGGTGAAGTTCAAGGCCCAGACGCAGCTGAACAAGAAGTGTTCCTCCGTCAAATATAGCAAGATCAAAGGCATCCCCAAGCTGGATGACGCCAACGATGCAGGTGGGCCCAGTTGCAGGTTCCACTCCGGTTAAATGGAACCCCCTCCCGGTCCTAATGACGTGTCTCTGTGGGTCTGTTTCAGGAGGCAAACACTCGTCTGACTGCACGCTGATCCTCACCGAGGGAGACTCGGCCAAGTCTCTGGCCGTGTCCGGCCTGGGCGTCATCGGGCGAGACCGCTACGGTGTCTTCCCGCTCAGAGGGAAGATCTTGAATGTGCGGGAGGCCACCCACAAACAGGTGAGCTGACACACCGCTCGCGTTGGGTCAGAACCAGAACTCTGTCAATTGTCGATTTCGATAAAACCTCTGGATCTTCCAAGGTTCCACTGCAGACCTTCTCTGAGGTTTTAACTGGATCAGAACCGCGCGGTGTGGATCTGACGTGTTCTCCTCCTGACAGATCATGGAGAATGCCGAGATAAACAACATCATCAAAATCGTGGGACTGCAGTACAAGAAGAGCTACGACGACCCGGAGTCTCTGAGGACGCTGCGATACGGCAGGATCATGATCATGACGGATCAGGTGAGCCACTCCCGGCGCCGCTGGCCACGCCGGAACCGACCCGGATCCCGGAGCTAAAACCTCTCGTCTCTTTCAGGACCAAGATGGCTCCCACATCAAAGGGCTGCTCATCAACTTCTTCCACCATAACTGGCCGTCCTTGCTGAAGCACACCTTCCTGGAGCAGTTCATCACTCCTATCGTCAAGGTAACACTGGTCCGGTCCGGTCCGGTCCATTCCGGTCATCGGCAGGCATAATAATCGAATTCTCTCCACAGGCGACCAAGAACAAGCAGGAGCTGGCCTTCTACAGCCTCCCAGAGTTTGAAGAGTGGAAGAAGCACACGGAGAACTTTAAGACCTGGCACATCAAGTACTACAAAGGTTGGTTCCCCTCCTTACTGGGCAGAACGCCATCCCATCCGCCTGATCCTGATCCAAACTCCGCCCCCTGCTCCAGGTTTGGGTACCAGTACCAGCAAAGAGGCCAAGGAGTACTTCGCCGACATGGAGAAGCATCGGATCACATTCAGATACAACGGTGCCGAGGACGACGCCGCCATCACTCTGGTAGGGTTCTGAGCAGGTTCTGTCAGGGCCGGCGCTGCCCGTGTGGTTCTGAGCCGCCGTCTTCTCTCTGTCCAGGCCTTCAGCAAGAAGAAGACGGACGACAGGAAGGAGTGGCTGACCAATTTCATGGAGGACAGGCGTCAGAGGAGGATGCACGGCCTGCCTGAGGTTCTGCTGCATCTGAACCGTTTGGCTGAAAATGTTGTTTTGTAGCTCGGGTTCTAACCGCCGTCTGGTTTCCCTGCAGCAATACCTCTACGGGACTCAGGCCAAACATCTGTCCTACAATGACTTCATCAACAAGGAGCTGATCCTGTTCTCCAACTCCGACAACGAGAGGTCCATCCCTTCCCTGGTGGACGGTTCGTAGACGTTCTGCCTCCGGAAGCGTGGTCCGCACTGGCCGGGGGGTTTACCCGCATCTGTCTGTCTTTCAGGCTTGAAACCGGGTCAGAGGAAAGTTCTGTTCACCTGCTTGAAGAGGAACGACAAGAGGGAAGTGAAGGTGGCCCAGCTGGCTGGTTCTGTGGCGGAGATGTCCGCCTACCACCACGGAGAGGTACTGTAGGAACAGAACTTGTCCAGTTCAGGGTTGAGGACCGAAGCGGTTCTGTGTGTGTTCTAACGTGGTTCTGCTTCCCGTCTCTCGCAGCAAGCTCTGATGATGACCATTGTGAACTTGGCCCAGAACTTTGTGGGCAGCAACAATGTGAACATCCTGCAGCCGCTGGGTCAGTTCGGAACCCGCATCAACGGAGGCAAAGACGCCGCCAGTCCCCGTTACATCTTCACTATGCTCAGGTAACACCGGCGGGTCGGAACCAGCGGCTGTTTGGGGCTGAACAGAACCAATTCTGATCCTCTCCTCCATCCAGCCCGCTGGCCAAGCTGCTCTTCCCCGCCATGGACTTCAACCTGCTCAAGTTCCTGTACGACGACAACCAGAAAGTGGAGCCAGAGTGGTACATTCCCATCATCCCCATGGTTCTGGTGAACGGCGCCGAGGGCATCGGGACAGGCTGGGCATGCAAGATCCCAAACTACGACCCCAGAGAGATCGTCAACAACATCAACAGGATGCTGAACCACCAGGACCCACTCCCCATGGTACGTCCCTCTACGGGTCACTGCTCCTAAACCGCCACATGCGTGACGTAAGCGGCGTGCTTTTACGTAAAACAGAAGTTCACAGCAGAAGTTGCGAAGAACGCCATCAGTAACGGTTTCTGGAGCCGAGAACGTCTGCTTCCTGTTAAAAATCAGGTCATATAATCCATGTTTAGATTCGTGATTTAAAATCTAATATTTAAAGAACTTCTGCCTGAACGACAGGAATTAGAATTTCAGGATTTAGATTTTATTTTGGTTTTTGCCTTGATCCCCAAGGCGCAGACCGACTTCAGCCTTCCTTCTGCTGGATCAGGAGTTCATGCTGATTAACTTTCAGCCTGAAACTATAAACTCCACCTTAATTAGGAGAAGAACCATGTTTTACATGTCTAGTGTGAACAAGGAACCTGTTTAAAGCAAAGCACTGCAACACCATCTTGCTGCGACGCCGCCTCGCTGCGACGCCGCTTCGCTGCGACGCCGCTTCGCTGCGACCCGTCTGATGTATCTTCTTGAATCCAGCTGGGTTGGTTCTGGTTCTTTATCTGCATCTTTCTTCCAGCTCCCCAGTTACAAGAACTTCAAAGGTGTGATCCATGAACTGGGTCACAACCAGTACCTGGTCAGTGGAGAGGTGTCGGTCATAGACAAAAACACCATCGAGATCACGGAGCTTCCCGTCCGGACCTGGACTCAGGTACTGGCCTCGTATGGGGGAGGAGCTAAATGATGTCAGGGTTTGTTGTCATGGAGCTCAGGACACGGCCGCCATGTTCCTCACAGTTCTGTCCGTTCTGCAGGCCTATAAGGAGTCTGTTCTGGAACCGATGGTCCAGGGAACCGACAAGACTCCAGCGCTGATCTCCGAGTACAAGGAGTACCACACGGACTCCACGGTGAAGTTTGTGGTGCGCATGTCTGAGGAGAAGCTTGCGCAGGCCGAGGCCGTGGGCCTCCACAAAGTCTTCAAGCTGCAGTCCAGCCTCACCTGTAACTCCATGGTAACGGACCGCAGCCTCACCTTCTTTAGCCCAGATGGTAGGCCGTGTCCAACGGTTCCGCTTGTTCCCTCCAGGTTCTGTTTGACCACATGGGCTGCCTGAAGAGGTACGACTCGGTCCAGGACATCCTGAAGGAGTTCTTCGAGCTGCGGCTGCACTACTACAAGCTGAGGAAGGACTGGCTCCAGGGGAGCCTGGGTGCCGAGGCTGCCAAGCTGTCCAACCAGGCCCGCTTCGTTCTGGAGAAGATCGAAGGGAAGATCTCCATCGGTGAGCGCCGACCCAAACGCCGCTTTGAGCCGGTCCCGTTCTCCTCTAACCGAGTCTTTCTCTGCAGAAAACAAGTCCAAACGGGAGCTGATCCGCATGCTGGTGCAGAAGGGCTACGAATCGGATCCTGTGGCTGCGTGGTCCAAAGCCCAGGAAAAGGTACAGCAGCGCTGGCTACAGAACCGGCGCCGGGGCGGCTGGGGAAGCAGCTTCTGATGAATGTGGGACTTTCCGACAGGCTCAGGAAGAAGACGCCCCCGATGGTAACGAGAGCGACGGTTCCGTGGACTCGGGATCGACGTCGGGTCCAAACTTCAACTACATCCTCAACATGCCTCTGTGGTGCCTGACCAAGGAGAAGGTGGAAGAGCTGCTGAAGCAGAGGGACCAGAAGGTACCGGTCCGGCCGGGACGGGCTGCTGGTGTCGGTTCTGGTGCCTGATCATAACCCAGTGGGTCTGTCTGTGCAGAGAGCAGAACTGAACGACCTGCAGAGGAAATCCCCCGAGGATCTGTGGAAGGAGGACCTGGCGGTCTTCATCGAGGAGCTGGACGTGAGTTCTACAGAACCCAGCTGATGATGATGATGATGATGATGGCGATGGTGGTGATGATGATGATGATGGTGATGATGGTGATGATGATGGTGATGGTGGTGATGGTGGTGATGATGATGATGGTGATGATGATGGTGGTGATGATGGTGGTGATGATGATGGTGATGGTGGTGATGATGATGATGGTGATGATGATGGTGGTGATGATGATGGTGGTGATGATGGTGATGATGATGGTGGTGATGATGATGGTGATGATGATGATGGTGGTGATGATGATGGTGATGGTGGTGATGATGATGATGATGGTGGTGATGATGATGGTGATGGTGGTGATGATGATGATGGTGGTGGTGATGATGATGGTGATGGTGGTGATGATGATGGTGATGATGGTGGTGATGATGGTGATGATGATGATGGTGGTGATGATGATGGTGATGGTGGTGATGATGATGGTGGTGATGATGATGGTGGTGATGATGGTGATGATGATGGTGGTGATGATGGTGGTGATGATGATGGTGATGATGGTGATGGTGGTGATGATGATGGTGATGGTGGTGATGATGATGGTGATGGTGGTGATGATGATGATGGTGGTGATGATGATGGTGATGGTGGTGATGATGGTGATGATGATGATGGTGGTGGTGATGGTGGTGATGATGGTGGTGGTGATGATGGTGATGATGATGGTGATGGTGGTGATGATGGTGATGATGGTGGTGGTGATGATGATGGTGATGGTGGTGATGATGGTGATGATGATGATGGTGGTGATGATGATGGTGATGGTGGTGATGATGGTGATGGTGGTGATGATGATGATGATGGTGGTGATGGTGGTGATGATGATGGTGATGATGATGGTGATGGTGGTGATGATGATGGTGGTGATGATGATGGTGATGGTGGTGATGATGGTGATGGTGATGATTGTGGTGATGATGATGGTGATGGTGATGGTGGTGATGATGGTGATGATGGTGGTGGTGATGATGATGGTGATGGTGGTGATGATGGTGATGATGATGATGGTGGTGATGATGATGGTGATGATGGTGATGGTGGTGATGATGATGATGGTGGTGGTGATGATGATGGTGATGGTGGTGATGATGGTGATGATGATGGTGGTGGTGATGATGATGGTGATGATGGTGATGATGATGATGGTGGTGGTGATGGTGGTGATGATGATGATGGTGATGGTGGTGGTGATGATGATGATGATGGTGGTGATGATGATGATGGTGATGGTGGTGATGATGGTGATGATGATGGTGGTGATGATGATGATGGTGGTGATGATGGTGATGATGATGATGGTGGTGATAATGGTGATGGTGGTGATGATGATGGTGGTGATGATGGTGATGATGATGATGGTGGTGATGATGATGGTGATGATGGTGATGATGGTGATGATGGTGATGGTGGTGATGATGGTGATGATGATGATGGTGATGATGATGGTGGTGATGATGATGATGATGGTGATGGTGATGATGATGGTGATGGTGGTGATGATGGTGATGGTGGTGATGATGGTGATGGTGGTGATGATGGTATGGTGGGATGGGGTGATGATGGGGTTGATGGTGAGTGATGATGGTGGGATGTGGGATGGGTGATGGTGGTGATGATGAGGTGGGGGTGATGGTGGTGATGGATGTTGATGATGGTTATGATGGTGGGTGGTGGGGTGGTGATGAGATGGGGGTGATGGTGGTGATGGGGGTATGGTGGTGATGTGATGATGATGGTGGTGATGGTGGTGATGATGGTGAGGGTGTGATGGGGGGTGATGATGGTGATGGTGGTGATGAGGGTAGGTGGTGATGGTGGTGATGATTGTGATGGTGATGATGAGATGGTGAGGTGGTGTGGTGGATGATGAGTGGGGTGATGAGGTGGGGGTGATGGTGGTGATGATGGTGATGATGATGGTGATGATGAGTGATGGTGGTGATGATGAGGTGATGGGTGGTGATGGTGGTGATTGATGATGGTGGGGGTGATTGAGGGTGGTGTGGTGGTGATGATGGTGATGATTGTGGTGATGATGATGATGGTGGTGTATGAGTGATGGTGGTGATGGGGTGATGATGTGTGGTGTGATGGTGGTGGTTGATGGTGTGATGATGGTGATGATGATGATGGGGGTGATGTGTGGTGGTTGATGTGTGGTGATGTGGGTGGTGATGTGGATGGGTGATGGTTGGTGATGGTGGTGATGAGGTGATATGTGATGGTGGTGATGATGAGGGTGATGGGGGTGATGGAGGGGTGATGATGATGGGGGTGGATGTGGTGATGGTGGGTTGATGGTGGTTGATTTTGATGATGTGTGGTGGTGTGGTGGTGTGATGGTGGTGATGGGGGTGATGATGATGTGATGGTGGTGTGATGATGTGTTGATGGTGATGATGTGATGGTGATGTTGGTGGTGATGAGATGGTGATGGTGGTGATGTGGATGATGATGGTGATGGTGATGTGTGGGGATTGGTTGGTGATGATGATGGTGGGGTGGTGTGTGATGATGATGGTGGTGATGATGATGATGATGATGGTGATGATGATGATGGTGGTGATGGTGGTGATGATGATGGTGATGATGGTGGTGATGATGATGATGATGATGGTGGTGATGATGATGGTGGTGATGGTGGTGATGGTGGTGATGATGATGATGGTGGTGATGATGGTGATGATGATGGTGGTGATGATGATGGTGATGGTGGTGATGATGATGGTGATGATGATGGTGGTGATGATGATGGTGATGGTGATGATGGTGGTGATGATGATGATGGTGGTGATGATGATGGTGATGATGATGGTGGTGATGATGATGGTGATGATGGTGGTGATGATGATGATGATGATGGTGAACCAGAGGAAGGAACCTGTTTGTTGTGGTCGTGTAATGGAGCATCAGCTGGAAGGGGGGCGGAGCTTGGTTCTGCCGGGTTCTCCCTCATCATGGCTGCTTCCTGAGCATCTGTGTGTTTTCTGTGGAGCAGAACGTGGAGGCGCAGGAGAAGGAGGAGCAGAGCGCAGGCCGGGCCATCAAACTGGTGAAGGGGAAGGTGGGCAAACCGAAGGTGAAGAAGATGAACCTGGAGGAGACGATGCCTTCACCCTTCGGCCGCAGGGTGGAACCGCCCACTCAGCCCATCAAGTCCGACGCCGCCAAGAAGCTGACCAAGAAGAAGAAGGTAAGTGAGGCCATTAGAGGAGGTCCGCTCCGGGAACGTCTGACCTCAGGACGTTGCTTCCGCTCTCAGGGCGACTCGGATCTCGCCGTAAAGCTGGAGTTTGACGACGACGGCGAAGGAGGACCTGCAGAAAACTCTGTGACCAAACCCAAAGCTCCGCGGGTCAAGAAAGAGAAGAAAGAACCGGGTGAGTACCGGGACCTCCGGTGTTTAAACGCCGCTTCCTCCGTCCAGCTGATCCTCTTCTTCCTCTGCTGCAGGAGCTCCTAGGGTCAGGAAGACTCCGGCGCCCAAAGCAGCTGCAGCCAAGAAGGTGAAGAAGAGGAACCCCTGGTCTGACGACGAGTCCAAGTCAGACAGCGAACTGGAGGAAAACGAGCCCGTCATTCCCAGAGAGACCAAGTCTCAGAGGGCGTCAGGTAAAGGCTCAGCGCCGTGTTCTAAGACGGTTCTGCACCAGTAGAGCAGCAGGTCCAACATGGCCGCCTGCCAGTTCTGACCCACTCCTCCTCCATCTTCCAGCGTCCAAACCTAAATACACCTTCGACTTCTCTGAGGAGGAGGAGGCGGAGGCGGATGAAGAGGAGAACGGAGACGATGACGCGGCGGCATCCCCGCTGAGGACGGTCCGAGACGACTTCGGGTTCTCCGACAAAAAGGAGCGCGACAGCGACCAGAACGAAGACGAGGACGAGGAAAACGACCAGGACTCCTACACTCCGCCCCCCAAGAAACCCACGTAAGGAGCAGGAGGCCTGGCTGCTGGATCCGGTTCTGATCCGGTTCTGATCCGGTTCTGATCCGGTCCTGATCCGGTCCTGATCCGGTCCTGATCCGGTTCTGATCCGGTTCTGATCCGGTCCTGATCCGGTTCTGATCCGGTCCTGATCCGGTCCTGATCCGGTCCTGATCCGGTCCTGATCTGGTTCTGATCTGGTTCTGATCCGGTCCTGATCCGGTTCTGATCCGGTTCTGATCTGGTTCTGATCTGGTTCTGATCCGGTTCTGATCTGGTTCTGATCCGGTCCTGATCCGGTCCTGATCCGGTTCTGATCCGGTCCTGATCCGGTCCTGATCCGGTCCTGATCCGGTTCTGATCCGGTTCTGATCCGGTCCTGATCCGGTCCTGATCCGGTCCTGATCCGGTCCTGATCTGGTTCTGATCTGGTTCTGATCCGGTCCTGATCCGGTTCTGATCCGGTTCTGATCTGGTTCTGATCTGGTTCTGATCCGGTTCTGATCCGGTCCTGATCCGGTCCTGATCCGGTCCTGATCCGGTCCTGATCTGGTTCTGATCTGGTTCTGATCCGGTCCTGATCCGGTTCTGATCCGGTTCTGATCTGGTTCTGATCTGGTTCTGATCCGGTTCTGATCTGGTTCTGATCCGGTCCTGATCCGGTCCTGATCCGGTTCTGATCCGGTCCTGATCCGGTCCTGATCCGGTCCTGATCCGGTTCTGATCCGGTTCTGATCTGGTTCTGATCCGGTCCTGATCCGGTCCTGATCCGGTTCTGATCCGGTCCTGATCCGGTCCTGATCTGGTTCTGATCTGGTTCTGATCCGGTCCTGATCCGGTTCTGATCCGGTTCTGATCTGGTTCTGATCTGGTTCTGATCCGGTTCTGATCTGGTTCTGATCCGGTTCTGATCCGGTTCTGATCTGGTTCTGATCTGGTTCTGATCCGGTTCTGATCTGGTTCTGATCCGGTTCTGATCCGGTTCTGATCATGCTCTCTGTCTGCTGCGCAGGTCTGCACCTGCAGCCAAGAAGAAGGAGACACCCAGTATCTTCTCGTCCAAGTCGGCCTTCTCTGAAAAGAGCAACGATAGCGGTGAGCATCAGAACCACTCTGGTTCCGTTCAGACCAATCAGATCCGAACTCTGAAGTCCGCCTGAGGTTCTGATGCGTTGATCCTCTGCTTGCTTTGTAGACGGCTCCGGGTCGGACAGCGAAGGCGACGCCGCCCCAAAGTTCTCCACCTACTCCAGCAGCTCGGCGTTCGACAAAATCTCACCAGCAAAGAAAGGTACCGTAGGGCCGGGCCAGCATGGGGCGCCGTGGCGCCGCAGAACCACGCTGACCTTCCGTTCTCTGTGTTCAGCTGCAGCTAAGAAAGGTCCAGAAGCGGCGCCCAAACCCAGGAAACCAGCAGCACCCAAAGCAAAGAGACCAGATAAATCCATCTGGGACTCGGACTCGGACACCGGCGCCAAGAAGCCAGCAGCTGCTCTCAAAGGTACGACTTCCTGCCTGCAGCTAAGGAAACGCTCCCCGTTGGTCGGCAGCCGGTCTGTGTCACCTGTTGCTATGGTTACAGGTAAAGTCCGAGGAAAGAAGAGGAAGGACTCCGGGTCTGAAGACGAGTACAGCCCCATGAAAAAAGCTCCCAAACCTGCTGTTAAGGTGAGTGAGCCCGCTTTATGAGCTAAGCCCCGCCCCTCTGACTGCAGAGCGCCGCCTCAGAGGTACCAGAGCACCATCCTCTGCTCACATGATGCCGCCTCCTCCGTGCCTCAGAGCTGGTGTCCGCAGGTCGTTCTCCACCTGTTCATGTTGCTTCTACTGGCGTTCTGGTAGCGGCCATGTTTGGCTGTGTTTAGACTGGTGGAGCCAATCAGAGGCTGACAAAGAGCTAGATTAGAACCAATGAGGACGGTCCAGTTCAGGAGAGACCCACACAGCATCGGCGGGCTGCGCCCTGAGCCGCCACCGTCTGAGAGGTTTTAGACGCCACTATAGGAACATTTTTAAGGAATGTCTGAAGGTCAGCTGTATGGGTGACCTCTGGGTGACCTCCAGCAGGAAGCCTTTAGTTTGGTCACGTTCTGCTTCTCATGCATTTTAAGGTGCGTTCAGATATAGAGGTCCAAACATAGAAGTCCAAACCATGTAGGGAAGTGGTTGCCCCTCCCTCACCTGCTGCTAGGTAGAGCTGAGGAGTCAACCAGCAGCACCGCATGGAGAGAGGAGGAAGATGAAACCAGCTGAACTTCTCTACGGCATCACCACACGGCAGCCAATCAGGGACAGGGTGGAGGAGAAGCTTTTTTAAAGCTTTTTCACTTAAATAACTTAAGGAAAGAATGTTAAAGTAACAGGGAAATCATATTCAAATGTCAAATCATTCTGGCTTAAACATGTATATAAATGTTCTCTTTATCAAAGATAGAACATTTCTATTTAAAAAAAAAATCCTGTCTTAAAATCTTGTTTTATTTTTCCCGTTATCTTCTGCAGGCCAGTTAGTTCTACATCAGCCTGAACACCTAAATTCGGCCAATCATATATCAACGGCCATCTGTCAATCAAATATTTTCAGTCATAGCATCTTGATTCATATGTCGCAGCTAATATACGCAGCGGTTGAAACCAGAATCCTTTCCTTTCCCATTGAGTTGCGTCCCAGTGTTCACGGGGATGGACGTCTGTGTCTTCAGCAGGCGTAGAGCTAACAGAACTGGCAGCGTTGCGAGGCAAGGGCTCAAACATGTACGGCTGGAAGCCTTCTACACCAAACCAAGCTTCTGCCGCCCTGGCGTCCTCTTCCACAACATCTTCGTCCCCGCTTTCCTCCTCTAAATAAAAAATGGATGACGGAGGAGACTCATCCACGACCTCCGACACTAAACTCTCCTCCTCTTGCATGTTTCCTCTGTCCATAGCGTTCCTTGACAGCGTCGTTTCTAAGTCACCAATTTAGTGCTACTTGGTCCCAATGGAATTTCCCATTGGGAACCTGCTAGCACTAAGTTGCTAACTGGTTAGCAAGATGCTTCCCACAAACCGGCTACAACCAATCGTGCTTGCGAACCTTCCGCCACAATGATCCCGCCCCCTTGATAAACGACCAATCACATTCACTTTATTCAGTCGCGTAAAGTCGGGCACCACTGGGAGAATTCGGGAGAAACGGTAGGCACAGCCGCTTCCCTACGACTTTAAAAAGGCAGAAAGAAGGAACGCTCTGCAGACGTCTTTAGCTGGATTTAAAATAAGCCTTTTCAGTTCAGTCCTAGAATGAGCGTCCATCATCCTCCCTCACCTCCAGCCCAGAGCCCGGTCTGTCGCTGCCCGCTGCCCAGCGTCGGGGCTTCCTGAGCGGGGAGATTTACAAGGAAGTCATGCTGAATCAGAGCGGCGTCTGGATGAATCTAAGTGGCCTCTCCACGGAGACTTAAAAGTTTTTATAAGGAGCAATTTGGAATCAGTCCATGATGTTACTGTTTACCTGTGCTTTTATTGTGAAAAGCCAACAGCCAGCCAGACCTTGACAGTGAATGCTATGTGGTTGCCAGGGGTAACGGTAGGTCCAAAGCAGAGTATCTGGGAGGCTGGAGATAAACTAAATATCAAACAATCATTCCACTAAATAAGGTCAACATGTTAGATGTCTGATGCAATAACTTTCTATCAGGAAACCAGCGCAGCGCTGACGTCTGCTGGGATGCTGATGTCATCGGCCGTGATTAAAAAATCATTGATCTTAAAAACCAAATTAACATAAATAATAGTTTTACCTGCTCAAATGAAGCAGCTCTGAAAAAGTGGGAGCATAATGGTGGACAGTTGACCTTTGGATGACCTAAAGAATAATCTTTAACGTCTGTGGTCTTTATTTTATTTATTTCATTTTTACAAATGACCATTTAAATTTACACACCTGCTGTAATGAAGCTCTAACCTTTCACGTTATCTGCTGAGTTTCCCCTGGTGGTGGGTGGGGTGTCAGCTTCACGCCGCTGAAGCTCCTCCTACTTGATGATGCGGCCCAGGATGGAAACGCTGCATCTGAAACGCAGCGTCAGGGAGAGGAGCAGCGTAGCGGTTAGAGCTGGGACTCCAGAGGTTATGAGTTCAACTCCCACAGCCTGCCACAGGAACTAGCTGTGGGTCTAGATACGGCTGAGGCGGTGAGGGAGGGGGGGCAAGTTTGTACGACAACGGAGGAACATGAGGGCCAAAAAGAGCGGAGATCCAGGTGGAAAAAGTGTCCCAGCGTTCTCACCTCGCTCTGCTAGCTGCTCCTTCTTCACCAGTCGTTTTCCAAAATGGCGGTCAGACAAACAAAACCAGCTGCATAGAGCAGAGGGGATGTAGAATTGACCAATCAGAGGCCTCCTGTCTGCGGTCACCTACAGTCTTGGAGAGGTGCAGCAGATTGTCTGTGGAAGGGGGCGGGGCATATCTGCGTTAACTGCGACACACGCAGACGACTTGGTTTCTGAGGATAAACCAGCCTTTATCCCCACACTGCTCCCCGGGAGCCGCACCGTGGCGGCCCTCTGCGCACCGTGGCGGCCCGCTGCTCCCCAAAAGAAGGGTTAAATGCAGAGTTCATGATGTTGCTCTGTATGGAGGACCAATCCTGCCATAATTACAAATACATACACAAATAAAAGGACTTAATATAAAATTGCTTAGAAGAGTAACTAATAATGAATTAGTGTGCCATTAACTTAGACAAAATAATAAAAATATTTCTTCATCAATTGATCAATTATTCATCTAAAAATATTATTCACACCATCATTTTTGAAAGATGTTTTTATTTTTATTTCACCGATTTACGCCACATTATTTTTAAAACATATTTTTAATCCACCATAAATATTTATTTTTCATTTTATTTTGACATTCTTCTATTTCTGAAGCAATGATTTATTTCTGCCTCTAACCGTTTTTATTTCTAACTTGGTCGTCTGACTGCAGCGGCTAATGTTAAAAAATGTTAAATGCTAATGTTAAAAACCCGCTTCCATAAAAACACACAATAAAGACTTCAAGAAATGTATAACAGAAAATAAGTTAGTTAAAAAGCAGTTGGCATAAATGCAAGAATAAAAAAAATAAAAAAAGTGGAATTAAAATCTATATTTTTAGATGAAAAATGTTTTAGCTGATGAAGAAATATCTTATTTTTATTATTTTGTTTAATGGCACACAAATTCATTATTAAATACTTTTTTCAAGCAAAGGTCCTTCATTTATCTCTGTCTGTATTGTTGATGATGGCAGGTTTGGTCCTCCGTAGCTCTGAATGTTTGACAGCTGGAAAAGATGAAATGTTTTCCTGTGCAGAAACCTCAGAGGCCTCCGTCCGACGACGAGGATGAAGAAGACGACGAAGACGGCAGACTTCAACCAACAACCAAGAGGGCGGCGTCCCGCGAGCGGCCGGGCCGCGCCAGGAGGGAGGTGAAGTACTACAACGAGTCTGAAAACGAGGAAGACGATGAAGACATGTTTGATTGAGCCCGCCCCGCCCCGCCCGCCTGGAAGGCTCCGCCTCCTCTGTTCCCTCAGACTTTTGTACATTTTCCCTGTTTTATTTTTTCATTAATGGTGGCATTCAATGATTTTTAACGTGTAGGTGTTTTACACTTTTATTAATATTCATATACAGGTTTGTTTTTTTACGCTCATTGAGATGTTCCGTGTCTGAAGCAGCTTCTAGGGGTTTAGAGCGCCGGTCTGTAGCACATTTTAACTGTTCAGATGAAATGTAACTTTTTGAACATGAAGTTGGAAGTAAAGAATAAAAAGTTCACAGATCTTCTGTCGCTCTCCTCTCTGACCCGATTAGAACCCATCCTGGTACCGGTACCAGGGAGGACCACGTCCAAAGGTGTACCGCCCCCTGCTGGTCAAAGGCTGTCATTTCTCAGTTCACATCTGGATGACTGGGGGCGGAGTTTCAACGGTTAACGGCTGTTGCCATGGAAACTCCCAACAGTTAACCTTAACAACTTTATCTTCCAAACTTTTATTTCTCTTTAAGCCCAGAAGGTCCCTGAAATGACATCTGTGAATTAAAGCAAGTTCAGACCCTAAAACATTAAATTGGAAATCCAGTCTTTGTGTGACAGGAAGGCAGTGAGGAACATTTTTCAGGTGGAATCTCTATTTTAAACGTCACCATGTCTGATTTATAGATGATTCAATTCTATTAAATTTTTCTATTCAGTTTATTTCTATAGCTCCAATTCCCATCATGTCATCTCAGGTCACTTTCCAGTTCACCAGATCATCCAGTCAGATTGATTCAAAGTTTTCTATCTAAGGAAAACCAGCTGATTGCATCGACTCATTGACTCTTCAGCAATCCCTCACACTAAGCATGCTTGTAGCGACAGTGGAGAGGAAAAACTCCCTTTGAACAGGAAGAAACCTCCAGCAGAACCAGGCTCAGTGTGAGTGGCCATCTGCTGAGGCCCACTGGGGTTCAAGGAGACAGAAGCAGACATAGAAAAAGAAGCATAGATACAAAAGGCAACTGTCAACCAGCTCCACAGGCGGCCCCGTCCAGGAAACACACAGCCAGGCAGACGAGCTCCGAGCCAGCTCCCATGTCAGAGGATGAAGAGAGCACATCCAGTTAGTCACAGTCAGAGAAACAGGACTACACTGGAAAACAGGCCAAGCTCCAACATCTAGAAACAAAGGTGTTGATGGCAGCAGCACAGCTGATATTTCTCTCCAGGATGGAGTCACAGCCAAACAGGAACAGACCAGATGAAGCTACTATGAGAAAAAGCAGAGAGAGCAGAACGTTAGAGATCTGCCTCCCATTCTACTTTTAGAAATTCTAGGAACCACTAGTAAACCTGCAGATTGAGAGCGAAGTGCTCTGTTAGGAACATAAGGAACAATCAGATCTCTGATATCAGATGGAGCTTGGCCATTTAAGGCTTTATATGTGATGAAACAAAGAGAAAAGGACAAACCAAACACTTCAAAACACCATAAAGCCCGTTAGAAACTGTGGCATCTAATTGATGCTAAGAAACGGCTAACATTCTAATCGATGCTAAGAAACGGCTAACATTCTAATTGATGCTAATAAATGGCTAACATTCTAATTGATGCTAATAAACGGCTAACCATTCTAATTGATGCCAAGAAACGGCTAACATTCTAATTGATGCTAATTAATGGCTAACCATTCTAATTGATGCTAAGAAACGGCTAACCATTATAATTTATGCTAATAGACGGCTAACATTCTAATCGATGCTAAGAAACGGCTAACATTCTAATTGATGCTAATAAATGGCTAACATTCTAATTGATGCTAATAAACGGCTAACCATTCTAATTGATGCCAAGAAACGGCTAACCATTCTAATTGATGCTAAGAAACGGCTAACATTCTAATCGATGCTAAGAAACGGCTAACATTCTAATTGATGCTAATAAATGGCTAACATTCTAATTGATGCTAATAAACGGCTAACCATTCTAATTGATGCCAAGAAACGGCTAACATTCTAATTGATGCTAATTAATGGCTAACCATTCTAATTGATGCTAAGAAACGGCTAACCATTATAATTTATGCTAATAGACGGCTAACATTCTAATTGATGCCAAGAAACGGCTAACATTCTAATTGATGCTAAGAAACGGCTAACCATTATAATTGATGCTAAGAAACGGCTAACCATTCTAATTGATGCTAATAAACGGCTAACCATTCTAATTGATGCCAAGAAACGGCTAACATTCTAATTGATGCTAATAAACGGCTAACCATTCTAATTGGTGCTAATAGACGGCTAACCATTCTAATTGATGCTAATAGACGGCTAACCATTCTAATTGATGCTAATAGACGGCTAACATTCTAATTGATGCTAATAAACGGCTAACCATTCTAATTGATGCTAATAAACGGCTAACATTCTAATTGATGCTAATAAACGGCTAACATTCTAATTGATGCTAATAAACGGCTAACCATTCTAATTGATGCTAAGAAACGGCTAACCATTCTAATTGGTGCTAATAGACGGCTAACCATTCTAATTGATGCTAATAGACGGCTAACCATTCTAATTGATGCTAATAGACGGCTAACCATTCTAATTGATGCTAATAGACGGCTAACATTCTAATCGATGCTAAGAAACGGCTAACATTCTAATTGATGCTAATAAATGGCTAACATTCTAATTGATGCTAATAAACGGCTAACCATTCTAATTGATGCCAAGAAACGGCTAACCATTCTAATTGATGCTAAGAAACGGCTAACATTCTAATCGATGCTAAGAAACGGCTAACATTCTAATTGATGCTAATAAATGGCTAACATTCTAATTGATGCTAATAAACGGCTAACCATTCTAATTGATGCCAAGAAACGGCTAACATTCTAATTGATGCTAATTAATGGCTAACCATTCTAATTGATGCTAAGAAACGGCTAACCATTATAATTTATGCTAATAGACGGCTAACATTCTAATTGATGCCAAGAAACGGCTAACATTCTAATTGATGCTAAGAAACGGCTAACCATTATAATTGATGCTAAGAAACGGCTAACCATTCTAATTGATGCTAATAAACGGCTAACCATTCTAATTGATGCCAAGAAACGGCTAACATTCTAATTCAGTTTATTTATATAGCGCCAAATTCACAACACATGTCATCTCAAGGCACTTTACAGTTCAACCAGATCATACAGTCAAATTGATACAAAGTTTTCTATCTAAGGAAAACCAGTTGATTGCATTGACTCATTGACTCAAATACAATCCCCCACACTAAGCATGCTTGTAGCGACAGTGGAGAGGAAAAACTCCCTTTTAACAGGAAGAAACCTCCAGCAGAACCAGGCTCAGTGTGAGCGGCCATCTGCCGAGGCCGACTGGGGTTCAAGGAGACAGAAGCAGAGATACAAAAAGCAGCTGTAAAAGGCGGCCCCGTCCAGGAAACACACAGCCAGGCAGACGAGCTCCAAGGCAGCTCCCATGCCAGAGGACGAAGAGAGCACATCCACTCAGTCACGGTCAGAGAAACAGGACCACACTGGAAAACAGGCCGATCTCCAACATCTATTAACAAGGGTGTTGATAGAAGCAGCACAGCTGATGTTTCTTTCCAGGATGACGTCACAGCCAAACAGGAACAGACGAGGCAAAGCTACTCTGAGGAAAAGCAGAGAGAGCAGAAGGTTAGAGATTGAACTAACAGATTCTGCAGAATAGGAGAACAGAGAGAGAATGAAGCAGAATGATGAAATGGGGGTCCCTATGTCCTCCAAAAGTCTAAGCCTATAGCAGCATAACTATAGAGATAGCTCAGGATAACCTGAGCCACCCTAACTATAAGCTTTATCAAAAAGGAAAGTTTTAAGCCTAGCCTTAAAAGTAGACAGGGTGTCTGCCTCACGGACTAAAACTGGTAGTTGGTTCCACAGGAGAGGAGCCTGAGAACTAAAAGATCTGCCTCCCATTCTACTTTTAGAAATTCTAGGAACCACTAGTAAACCTGCAGATTGAGAGCGAAGTGCTCTGTTAGGAACATAAGGAACAATCAGATCTCTGATATAAGATGGAGCTTGGCCATTTAAGGCTTTATATGTGAGAAGGAGGATTTTAAATTCTATTCTTGATTTAACAGGAAGCCAATGAAGAGAAGCCAGGATAGGAGAGATATGATCTCTCTTTTTAATTTTCATTAGAACTCTGGCTGCAGCATTTTGGATCAGCTGAAGGCTTTTAACTACAGTTTGTGGACTTCCTGATAGTAAAGAATTACAATAGTCCAGCCTTGAAGTAACAAATGCATGGACTAGTTTCTCAGCATCACCCCTGGACAGGATATTTCTAATTTTTGCAATGTTCCTCAGATGAAAGAAGGAAATTCTAGAAACCTCTTTGATATGGGATTTAAATGACAGGTCCTGATCAAAAATAACACCAAGATTTTTTACTTTATTATCTAATTGATGCTAATAAACGGCTAACCATTCTAATTGGTGCTAATAGACGGCTAACCATTCTAATTGATGCTAATAGACGGCTAACCATTCTAATTGATGCTAATAGACGGCTAACATTCTAATTGATGCTAATAAACGGCTAACCATTCTAATTGATGCTAATAAACGGCTAACATTCTAATTGATGCTAATAAACGGCTAACATTCTAATTGATGCTAATAAACGGCTAACCATTCCAATTGATGCTAAGAAACGGCTAACCATTCTAATTGGTGCTAATAGACGGCTAACCATTCTAATTGATGCTAATAGACGGCTAACCATTCTAATTGATGCTAATAGACGGCTAACCATTCTAATTGATGCTAATAGACGGCTAACATTCTAATTGATGCTAATAAACGGCTGACCATTCTAATTGATGCTAATAAACGGCTAACATTCTAATTGATGCTAATAAACGGCTAACATTCTAATTGATGCCAAGAAACGGCTAACCATTCTAATTGATGCTAATAAACGGCTAACATTCTAATTGATGCTAATAAACGGCTAACATTCTAATTGATGCCAAGAAACGGCTAACCATTCTAATTGATGCTAATAAACGGCTAACATTCTAATTGATGCTAAGAAACGGCTAACCATTCTAATTGATGCTAATAAACGGCTAACCATTCTAATTGATGCCAAGAAACGGCTAACATTCTAATTCAGTTTATTTATATAGCGCCAAATTCACAACACATGTCATCTCAAGGCACTTTACAGTTCAACCAGATCATACAGTCAAATTGATACAAAGTTTTCTATCTAAGGAAAACCAGTTGATTGCATTGACTCATTGACTCAAATACAATC